AGATTAGCAACGGCGAGCGGCAGAAGACCTTGAGGACACGAAAATCGTCGCAGCAGCTCGGCCAGAGACGTTCGGGCTCAGAGCCCTGCGCAAAGTAGTCGTACAGGTGCCGCGAGAGTGGGGGCGTGCTGCGATTCAACATGGCAATATATATATATATATATATATATATATATATATATACATATATATATATGTAGTGACCGATCAGCCTCTCGACCGTTTTGGCGGAAACCGCGGGCCCAGTACTCAACCAGTCAAACGCTGGATCAACTTCCAAAGCTTGTCGGGGTCCGGGCTGAGGGCGCCTGAGTTGCAATTGAGAACCGGGCCCGGCACGCGGGCGACGAGGGAGGGCCCCGAGACGTCGTGGATAGTCCTGCTCCATATTCCTCTGAGCAACATCGCGCAGGCCGCCAGCTTCCTCGCGCCAGAAGGCGCCAGAATTCAAATTGTCGCAGGACGCCACGTAGACGCGCTCGCCTGCCTGCAGCCCGGGGGCGGGGCGCCCGCCCACGAGAACGAAACCGTCTGAGACCTCCCCTCGGGCAACCTGCATATGTTACTCTTGGGCCAACCAGAACGACCAAGTAAAACCCACAGGTAAAAACAATCAGGCACATCGATACTTTCTCATCAGACCTGAAACCCTCCAAGAGCTCCCCGGACGCACCAGCTTCCAATGAGCTCCCCACGACCGCGTCGACCTCGAGCGCGAAGAATTCCGAAAGCTCCTCCGAGATACTGGACTCGTAGAAACAATCCTTGATGTCTCCGTCGGCCAGGTGCAAGGCCTGTCCTACAGGGGCCTCCAGGTCGCTCAAATAACTTAAACCACCTAACTCAGTGTGCGGGGGAGGGGCGAATCTGATATTGCACTGACGGCAGTCGAGGACGAGGCGTTGCTTCCCCGACCTCATCAAAACCGCGAACGCTCCAGTTCGAACGGCGGGGCGCCGAGTGACCCTCGCAAGTCCCTGGGAAGCCATCCTGGAGGCAAAAGCTTCGAAACCGCCGGGGGCTCTCAAAAGCGGGTCCGTGTAAGGGGGCGCTCGGTGCGCCTCGTCGGGCAGCTGGCTCCGCGCCGCTGCCCCTGCGGGCATCTTCTCTTCGAAAATCTGATGGCGCTCTTGAGGAAGACCTACCATGACGGACTCCAAATCCACGGGCAAACGCTCCACGTCTGGAAGCGCAAGTTTTTCCGGAACCATGGGGGCCCGGGGGCCCTGACCCAGGTCCCCTGCATAATCGCGCTTGGAAGCCCGGAGCTCCTGGAGGGCTTCTGGGCGCGTGACGCCATGAGGCTTGGGGCCCAGCTCGCGCGCGCTGTGTCAGAAGAGTAAGAGCAGCGCGCTGGCACTGCGGCGGGGCCATCAGGTCATCGGCGTCGGGAGGGGCAGGCGCGACACGAGCGCCAAAGTACATTGAGTTGAGAGCGTCCGCCGACCCGTTGACTGCGGCTGCCACAGCCCGCCGACGCGACAGGCGTCGCGTCGTCGAACGGCACATCCTTCGCAGGCCCCCCCGTCGCCCTTCAGGAAGACGAGGCAACGGGGAGATGTCGCGATACATGCTCGGGGCATTCTCTCCCTCATCAAAAGTGGCTTCGCCATTCGGCTCGGCCGAGACTCAGAACTGGTCGGCAGCGGCGAACAGGTTGAGTCGTGACCAGCACGCCACTCGCTGCGCACAGGCTCTCGGGGAGCGGACGAGATGCGGTCGAGCCAACCCGCGCCTCTGAGTCCACGCGCTACCCGTCCCCGGCGGCGCCGGCGCCAGCTGCGCCGCCCCTGCCCCCACGTCCGCGACCTGGGCCAGGGCGAAGCGAGCGCGCCTCCGCCGCCTTGCGCTTCTCCTTCGAGGTGGCCGCCTCCGCGCGCAGCCGATCTGACACGTGCGCGGTCAGCGCTGGAGACACCAGCGCTCTGGCCGCACGCGCGCCGTCGCCCATGAAGTGGGCGGCCCCCTCGTAGCTCGGAGCGCTCGGGTTGGCGTGATGGGCCTCTGCAGTCAGCTGGCGCCGCCGCCCTGCCGCCTCCATGGCCAAATTCATGCTGTTGAGGCCATCGTGCGCCACGGCCAACTCTTGCACCGGGGCCAGGTTAGCGTCCTCGTGGATCGAACGATCGCCGTCGGGGATCTTCGACTCTGCCAACCACTTTGAATGCTGAGCGCGAGGACCTTCAGAAATCTTGATCATCTCCCTGCAGAGCCACTCGGTCGTCCTCGGCCCGCTGAGCGGCCAGTCGTCGAGCTTTGTCGTCGTCATCTCCTGCGCCGAACGGCGGAACTCGCGCTTGCGCGTGCCGTCGGGCCCGTGCACCACGGACAGTGTTCGCGCATCGCCCCCCGCAACTTGATCGTTGCCGTGTGTCGCCGTAGCAGCTCGGCACCACTTGATCCGCTCCTCACAGAATGAATCGATCTCCGTTTGGTCGTTGTTCAGCTGCATGTTCGGCAGCACCGTGAGCCCGTGCCCGTTCGCCTGGAACGCTGCCACCAGCAGCGCGACGATCTCGCCGACGCCGTGCCCGCCGACGTGCTCCGCGAGCACCCAGGCAACGGCGGGGGCTACAGCTGCCACGGCGCCGCCCGGGGCGGCGCCCGCGCCGCCGGCGGCGAGGCCGCCGGCGCCAGCCGCAACACTCCCTGCACCGCCAAGGGCCACGACCCCGATCGCCTCTGCCAGCAGCTGGTCAACTTCAGCGTCGGCCGGAGGCTGTCTGAAGCGGTGCAAGCGTGCACCTCCGAGCCCCAACGGCAGCCCCCCGCTGTCGCCCAGGAACCTAAGCGTCCCGAGCACGTTTTGGTCGCTCATGTCTTCATCGTAGACGTCGAAGTCGGGGGTCGCGATTGCCACCAGGCCTCCTATCAAATCATTCAGGAACACCCGCTCGCGTGACAAGACCTCGCCCGCGCCCGCGTACTTCACTAACGCCCTGCGTAGCATCATCCCCCTGGCCCCGTCGGCAATGGCCACCCGTCCGCTCCTCGGACTCGAGGACCTGGTAACTGAGGAGGGCCCCACTGGCAACCCAACCGGCGCCATACTGAACGCACGTGGCGGTCACCTGCACGATCGAGAAGAAAAGGTACCCTAGCGCACAAGCGGCGAGCTGCCAAGACTGGTGACCCCCGCTGCTTGGAGTCATTATAGCCTCGCACTGACAGTGGCAGTGGCAGATCGGATCCGGGATCTCTGGGCACCTCACCTCCGCCAGCCCAGCCGCTCGCGCCGCCTCGGCGGCGTCCGAGAAGACGCCGCGCAGCACCCAAGCCGAGAAGGCGGTGACCCGCTGCTGGTCGCGACTTGCACGGGCGCGGTCGATGGGAGGAAGGCCCAGATCATCCACGCGCGGGGATGGTCCGTGCGTTCCTGTTGCGCAGCAAAAAACCTTGAGGATTGAAAACGGCCGCGGGAAAGCACGATCAATGCTGTGCAACGCACTCTCAGGAGGAGGAGGAGGAGGAGGAGGAGGAGGAGGAGGAGGAGGAGGAGGAGGAGCAGGAGGACGAGGAGGAGGAGGAGGAGGAGAAAAAGGAGCAGGAGGAGGAGGAGGAGGAGGAGAAGGAGGAGGAGGAGGAGGAGGAGGAGGAGAAGGTTGCGAACCACTTCCCATCCGCGTCTGGTGTTACCGCGAGGATTGCAAAGGGATAAACAGGGTCCTAGGTGGACACTAAGGTGGTTTGATCAGTGGGTTACAAGTGCCCTCAGCGGCATTTAAGGGTGCAGACATCTGGGCTCAGCGGGCGGATCCCGCTTTTAGCGGAGTGACCAGATCCCAGGAAGCCGCGCGAGGTTTTCATAGCCCGCTTGCAAGCTAGCTTAGACCATTTCCTCATGCTCGCATCGACTTGTATAGAAGAAAACAAAGCGCCATAAACAGAAACTTTTGGCCCACGGATTTCTTGGTTCTGCGCTGGACCCCCCTCCCTGGCGCGCGGGGCGCGCCAGGGGCGGCGCCGGAGGCGCCGCCAGGGGGGCCCATGCCTATGCAACTTTTTGTTCATGGCGTTTTTTTGCTGACCAAGGGAAACAGCAGGCGATCGAGTGACGCCCATTGGTCTCAAGGTCTGCTGGCAGATCCACCAACTGCAGCAAAGTCGAGAGGCAGACCCTGATGCAAGGCACGTTACCCCTTTGATCGTAGCAGCCCTTTAACTCCTCAGCAATCCCCGCGGTCCACGCTCCATCAAAGACCTCTCCGCGAGGACCAGACGCCCACCTGCTAAGATGGGCGAGCAGGGGACCGAACACAAAAAAAGAAATCCCCACGGTGATCCGAGCTGCATTTGCCCCTTCCCCGACGGCCCCCATCCTGGAGAGAGGTCGTCGGACGCTCGCCGTGTGCTGTGTGCCGCTGCCATTCCATTGGGAGTCCCGAAACGGTGCGGTGAATGACCGCGCGGTGACCTCGAAAGACCTCACCGCACAGTCCGTCACCGCACGGTTTTGGGACCCTGGAAGCCCCTGTCGCCCGAGACATCCTCGGAGAAGGACTCGAGTCCCAAAACCGTGCGGTGACCCCGAATCCCCACCGACTCACAACACGGTGTGGTGGTCACAACACCCTTTTGGGGCCCCCGATTCCAAAGCGTTCTGCGACGCTCCGGGAGCGCTCCGGAACGCCCTGGCATGACCCATACCGGTCCCGGGCCCGGCCGATGGGGCCTCCCAGGGGACTGGCTCTGCACCTTGGGCCGGTGGTCGGGGTCCCAGGGGCCTCAAGGAGGGCGGAGCTGGCGAGAGAAGCTCCAGGACCCTCCCCCTCCAGGGCCCTCTCCTTTTAGGCGGGGGGGGATCGAGCGCCACCACCGAAAAGGGGCCAGAAACGCAGAGAAGTCTCGAGCCTCGAACCTCGAACCTCGAATCACGAACGACGACGACGACGACGACGACGACGACGACGACGACGACGACGACGACGACGACGAAGGCGGCGGCGGCGGCGGCGGCGGCGGCGACGACGACGACGACGACGACAGCGACGGCGACGGGCCTCATCAGCTCGCGGCACGACACGGGCGCCTCGACCGTCTGCAGGTTGTAGAACAGGTTCTGCAGGGCGATCAACAGGGGCAGCGCCGGCCGGTCGGGGCCCCCGTCTGGCCCCTCCTCGCCCGAGAGGGCCGCCTGCTCGGCAGGCTCCTGGCGCCGCCGCCGCCGTCGCCGTCGTGGTCGACGACATCGCCGTCGTGGTCGTCGTCGTCGCCGTCGCCGTCGTCATCGTGGTCGTGGTCGTGATCGCCCGTAAGTCGTAGTCCTCGTCGTCGTCCGTCGCGTGATCGTCCGTACGTTGTCGTCCTCGTCGTCGTCCGTCGTGCGTCGTCCGCCGACCGTCTTTCGTCGTTCGTCGTCCGTCGTCGTCCGTCGTCGTCGCTCCTGCGACTCTATGGAGTAGACCACGTGGCGGAAAGGCCCTGTCCGGCCACGCGCAGCTGGGGGGGGGCCCTGCTCCGTGCACCCCTGGGGTGGGCCCCTCGTGCCGACGGTCGCTCGAGGGGGTGTCGAACCGACGGGTCCCTGGGGACCCCCGAGAAGACCCCCGTCAGCTCCAGATCCACGCCCCCGCAGTCTGGATTCCGGGGCGCGATCTCGCAAATACGCGGTCGCATGGATGCGGTCCGCGCGAGGCATCCCGCGCACAAAAACGCCCAATATCCACGGGGTCGCGGCCCAGGGGCCCGGCCCGCGAGGCCGCGGATGCGGATCCCAGCAAAGCCGCCGTAGAGGCGCTGGAACTCCTCGGGGGGACCCCGAGGACCCCGCAGCACCCCAGGAGCGCAGGTTAGGTCGGGCATGTCCTCCTAAAGGCGGAGTTTTGAAGAACGTCGAAAAAAGTCAAAACATGCTCACACATATTCGAAACATAATAGAGCAATCGTCCCCATATAATTATTCTACCGTTTTTGAATACTCCTCATGTGCAGGGAAAGGGGGGTACAGTCACGGCGCTCCCCCCAGCTGTGGCCGCCCTGCCTATGTGGAAGAGCGTCTGGAGGAGACAGTTCATGTAGCACCTAAGCTGCCCCGAGGCCCCGCACGGAGGCAGCAGCGCGGCGATGCGTGTCTCAACACGTAGATCGAGGACGCACGTCTGGCGATGTACGTTCGCCACCGCGTGGGCCACTGCGTGCCAAACCGTCACGCACCGTGTTCAGGACGGACGTCTTGAACACGGCACGTGCTGCGCTTCGAGACGGGCGTATCGGGGCAGCTGAGTGCAGCACGTGGCCCCGTGGTTCTTCAGGCCGACGTGGCCGACAGGCCTCCGGCCCCCTTGGCGGCGCGCGAGCAGGATCTGGGCGAGGGGATGGTGGCCTTCTCCCCAGAGGGGGGCAGGAGCCGAGGCAGGGTCGAGGGGGGGTGCCCTTCTCCCCAGAAAGGGGGCAGGGGTGCTGGGGCTGGGAGAGGGGGAGGGGGTGGAGGACAAGCTAGGTGCGCTCGCGTCATATCTGACGTCCTACCCCTCCCTCCCATCCCTTACCATGGCGCTGATTTTCTCTATCCGCGGACGCGTGTCGTAGCGGACCTGTGGCTCCGCGCGCGCGTGCGTAGTGGGTGGTGGTGCACGTGCGTGCGTGTGTGCGTGGTTGTGGTGTGGTGGTGGTGGTGGTGGTGGTGGTGGTGGTGGTGGTGGTGGTGGTGGTGGTGGTGGTGGTGGTGGTGGTGGTGGTGGTGGTGGTGGTGGTGGTGGTGGTGGTGGCGGTGCGGCGCGGTGGTGGCGGGCGGATGGGCGCGCGAGAAAGAGGCCCGCGCTGGGGCGAGAACGCCATCCTGAACGACGGAGGCCAAACACCGATCCGAAAATGAGGCCCACGCTGCAGCGAGAGCACGATTCGGAACGCTTCGGGAGCAGAAATGAGGCCGGCGCCTCAGCGAGAGCAGCATTTTGAAAAAAACGCAGGCGAAAACCCAACTCCCGGGAATCCTGTGTGTAAAAAACAATACGCGGGGGGGTCTAATACTTTCAGGCCGCCATCGGGGGAAGAGGGAGAGTAGTATTCATATCAAGTTAGGTGCGCTCGCGTCTACATCTGACATCCTACCCCTCCCTCCCATCCCTTACCATGGCGCTGATTTTCTCTATCCGCGGACGCGTGTCGTAGCGGACCTGTGGCTCCGCGCGCGTGTGCGTAGTGGGTGGTGGTGCGCGTGCGTGCGTGCGTGTGTGCGTGGTTGTGGTTGTTGTGGTGGTGGTGTGTATGTGTGTGTGTGTGCGTGTGTGCGCGTGTGCTGTGGTGTGACGTGGTGTGGCGTCTTGGTGGTTTGGTGGTGGGTCAGGTGCGTACGTGCGTGATGGCGGTGGTGGTGGTGGTGGTGGTGGCGGTGGTGGTGTGTGTGTGTGTGTGTCTGTGTGTGTGCGTGTGTGCGTGTGTGTGTGTGTGTGTGCGTGCGTGTGTGTGTGCGTGCGTGCGTGCGTGTGTGTCTGTGTGTGCGCGCGTGTGATGTGGTGTGACGCGGTGTAGCGTGGTGGTGGTGGGTGGGGTAGTGCGGTGGTGGTGGCGGTGCGCGGTGGTGGTGCGCGTGCGTGCGTGCGTGCGTTGGTGGGTGGAAGTGGCGGTGGGTGTGCGTGCGGCGGGGCGGGGCGTGGTGCGGCGCGGTGGTGGCGGGCGGATGGGCGCGCGAGAAAGAGGCCCGCGCTGGGGCGAGAACGCCATCCTGAACGACGGAGGCCAAACACCGATCCGAAAATGAGGCCCACGCTGCAGCGAGAGCACGATTCGGAACGCTTCGGGAGCAGAAATGAGGCCGGCGCCTCAGCGAGAGCAGCATTTTGAAAAAAAACGCAAGCGAAAACCCAACTCCCGGGAATCCTGTGTGTAAAAAACAATACGCGGGGGGGGGGACTACTTTCAGGCCGCCTTCGGGGGAAGAGGGAGAGAAGTATTCATATTGAGTAATTGTTGAGTAATTGTGGAGGAGGAGTAGGAGGAGGAGAAGGCGGAGGAGGAGGAGGAGGAGGAGGAGGAAGAGGAGGAGGAGGAGGAGGAGGAGGAGGAGGCGGAGAGGTTGGGTTGAGGTGGGTTGGGTCAAGGTTGAGTCGAGGGGGGGAGGCTGCTCCCAGAAGAAGGCAACCAGGACGGGCACGGAATGCATGGGGGGCGGATACCAGCAAATGCTGCTGCCCATTGTGAACTGGATTCGCTGCCTGTGTCGCCGCGGGCGTGGTCCATTTGAGACAACAGCTCGCCTGTCCACAGCAACTGCTGGCGGTTTTGGACTACATGTGCTGTTGGGCATCGTCCCATCTCTTCCGTGCCCACTGCAGGGCGTGCCGAGAAGTGCTTGGGTGCTTCTCGGAGGGCTTCTAGGGCGGGGGGACCTATAAGATGCCCCGCTGCCTGCTGAGAAGGCCTTCCCCCTCGCCGGACCCCCTTTTGCGCGCCGCCGACCCCCGCTCATGGAACTGCTGGCCACCTGCAGCATCGCCTTCCTCGACGAGCACGAGGCCCGGAGGCACAACTCCCCTTTCGGGCCCAGCCAGCCCGCTTCCGTCGTCATGTGGGCGACCGGCAAGAAGTTCTTGTGCCATCCCCGATCCGCGTTGCCGCGCTCGAAGTTGAAGGTGTCCTTCTGTGTGGTAGTCCTCCGGTAATCGTGCCAGTTCACCACGCTGATCTGGTATTTCACCCCCTCGAATACCCACCGCGTGTCCTTGCAGCTCTCGGGGGGCACCACCTCCACAAACGCCGCCAGCTGCTCGGGCTTCTGCGTCGCGTCGGTGCCGGCCGGGAACACGAGCAGCCGGAAGCGGAACGACGAGCCCTGCAGCTCCTTGATCGGGGACAACTGGCTCTGCCCCTGCTTGAAGCTCTGTGGGTCCTGAGTGGCAGCACATGGGGCTGCGCACGGACATAGATTGCCCCCTCCCCCCCGCACACACAGACTGCAACATATTGATATATCGATTGCTTCCTGTAGGTAGCACCACATATATATATATATATATGCATACATCTATATATATATGTATGTATGTATGTATGTATTCATATCTGCCCGAGTCCGAAGATGTACCCCGAAATATGTTCATTCTGAGATTTGCCAGGGGGCGCATGTTTTGCTTCCGCCACCGTCTGCCGCCCTTCGGCCAACTTCCGCCGGCGGAGGGCCTCGTTTTACTTCTGCCGCCCTTCCGCCGCCTGCCGCCGAGGAAGAGATGACCACTCTTTCGATCCTCAAAGGCAAGGCCCTTTTTGTTGGAACGCCCCATGTATAGTATTATGTGTATATATATGTGTACATATGTATATATATGTATATATATGTACATATATATACATATATATATATATATATACATACATATATATATATGCAAGACCAAGCTGTTTGGGGTCCACGCTGGCAAACATGCCCTGTTTCAAGGTGTCAGCATGCCTCCCTTTTCTGAAGCCCGAGGGCTCTTCGGTGTGTCCTCGATCAGGAACTCCAGCTCGTTGTCGAGCGGAGGTGGCAGCCTGTCCTTGATCCAGAGGCCTCGCCCAGCGCACCCGGGCTCGCCGCCGAAGCAGGTGGTGCCCTGCATGGGGGGATAACACGGGGCAGCGATGGTGACGAAAGCGACGTCAACGAGAGCACAACGCCCCAAATATTCGATCTTCAATCGTGGCCGCCTCTTCCTCTTCCTCCTTTTCTGACTTTGATCGGACTTCAAGCACGGGTCCTCTTCCTCCTCTTCCTCCTCCTCCTCCATCCGCATGGCCTACCTCCTCCTCCTCCTCCTCCTCCTCCTCCTCCTCCTCCTCCTCCTCCTCTTGCTCCTCCTCCTCCTCCTCCTCCCTCGCTCCCTCCCTCCCTCCCTCCCTCCCTCCCTCCCTCCCTCCTCCCTCTCTCCTCGACCTGCCACGGGACAGGAACAGCTGAGCAGGACTCTTGCCCGGGAAAGCCTCGAGATTTTGGCGGCTGGGCCCGTGAAGGGGGGAGGCATGGTTGGGGTCAGCGATCACGATCTCCAGCTCCTGGAGGGAGACGGGCTTCCCTCTCGCAGATCGGGCGTTCTCTCTCGTACGGACACCGTGCAGCCTGTCTGCTGATCCGATCACGAGGCGGCGGTCGCGCCGGTGGCGCCTTGGGACGAGGGGGGGCTCGAGCATGATTCGGGCGGGATGTATTGCTCAGCGCGTCGCAGCGGCAGCCCCGGCGACGCGCGATGCCTTGCGAGTGGGTGGCGCGCTGCTCCTCTCCGCGGGCGAGAGGCTCGGGCACGCTCGGGGCGTTCCCGCCCTGGGATCGCAAATGGCGTGTCGCGGCGAGGCGCGATGGGCCGGAACCAGTGGAGCCGACCGTAGCCTGGCTCCCTTTCGAGCAAGAGGTGGCGCGACTCGTGGGCTCACGCCTGCTCCCTGCCCCAGGGTTTTCGTGGCCTCTGCCGGGCAGCTCGCCATGGGCTCGTCGGCTCACGCCTCCTCGCTCGGGATGGAGCGCCGCGATAACCACACGGCAGTCGTGCGTGGCCAGAGCCAAGGAGACCACCCTCGGAGCGCCCACCCCCGAGCTGTCGGCCACCTCATGCAGGGAGACCCCCTCCGTCCTCTCGACCGGGTGCGGGAGCCAACGGTATCTGCTGTGCTGTGCCTCGGCACTCTTCGCGCCGCGCGCTCGGCTGAGGGGCTCTCCCCCGCGGAGCAGGGGATGGTCCGTGCCCTGGCGTGCAACGCAAGATAGACTACGGACAGAACTACAACTTGCGGGGCGCCAGATCTCGCCTGCTTGTCCGCTCTGCGGCCACTTCGCCTACCCGCTGCACCACAAACTCCGGCTATGCCGCACGCCCAGCAGTGGCCAGGCGCAGTGCTGAGTTGGCCGAAGTCCCATTGATAGTCACGGAGCTGGACACTGAGGCCAACGGCTTCTCCCACACCCCACAACATCCCTGTTTGTCAGGACCCACGGATCGAGGAGATTAGAGGAGGAGGAAGAGGAAGAGGAAGAGGAAGAGGAAGAGGAAGAGGAAGTGAAGAAGAAGAAGAAGAAGAGGCAGAGGAAGTGGAGGAGGAGGAGGAGGATCGATGGATCGAGGGGGCTCGAGGGAAGGAGGACGAGGAGGAGGACCGAGGCTGACAGTGCCCAGGCCCCAGCTCGAAGGCAGTGCTCGCTTTGCCGAGAGCTCGAGGGCCCCGACGGTCTGCGTGCGCCTGTTGGCGGGGAGATCTCGGTCACCTTCTCGTGGATGGCTACTGTCAACGTCGTGCTGTTATAGTATATACCGTAGCACCCCGCAGATGCGGATAAGAGTGAGGGGGCGGTGAGGACGCCGGCAGTTTGCGAGACTCTGGAGAAGCCCGCCGCTGGCGCCACAGTTTTACAAAGTATACACCGAGCCCGCCGCAGGCGCCGATTTTTTGTTAAACCAATCTGGGTAGGTCGCGGGTGGGCCGCAAATGGGTCGCTATTGGGTCGCGGGTGAAGAGGGCAGAATCCACCCCAGAAAAATCACCCCGACAAGCGAAGCCGTTTAGTAAACGCACACAAGGCATGAATCGAACAGGGCAAGGTTGCTTAATAAACACCCAAAGCCGTTCAATAAACGTCAATTGTCGGATCCGGGTGGTTTCTCCTCCCTTGAGGGCGGGTCGGGGGGTGGGTCGCGGGTGGGTCGCGGGGTGGGTCGCGGGTGGGTCGCGGGTGGGTCGCGGGTGGGTCGCGGGTGGGTCGCGGGGTGGGTCGCGGGTGGGTCGCGGGTGGGTCGCGGGGTGGGTCGCGGGTGGGTCGAGCGGGGTGGGTCGCGGGTGGGTTGCGGGGTGGCTCGCGGGGTGGGTCGCGGGGCGGGTCGCGGGGTGGAGTCGGTCGCGGGGTGGGGCGACGACAACAAACAACAACAACAACAACAACAACAACACCAACAACAACAACAACAACAACACCAACACCAACAACAATAACAACAACACCAACACGAGCCGCACCACCACCAACAGCAACACCACCAACAACAGCAACAACAACAGCAACAACAACATCAGCAACATCATCAACAACAGCAACAACACCAACAACAGCAGCACCAACAACACCACCACCAACAACACCACCACCAACAACACCAACAACATCAACACCAACACCAACGTCACCACCACCACCAACAACACAAACAACAACAACAACAACAACAACAACAACAACAACAACAACAACAACAACAACAACAACAACAACAACAACAACAACAACAACAACAACAGCAACAACAACAACACCAACAACACCAACACCACCAACACCAACAACAGCACCAAGAGCAACAACACCAACATAACCAGCAACCTCAGCAACAACAACGCAACACGCATACTTCTCACCACAAATTCCCTATTCAGCCACGAACCAGGGACAATGAATGACCGTTCGCCCCCCTCACTCTGATATGTATATATACAAGTATATATATATATGCAATTCAATAAATGTATAGAGAGGGATCGGTGTAATATATATATATATATATATATAGAGAGAGAGAGAGAGAGAGAGAGAGAGAGAGAGAAAGAGAGCGAGATAATGAGAGAGAGGGAAACACAGAGAGAGAGAGAGAGAGCGAGAGAGAGAACAAGAGAGAACGATGGAACGATGTAGAGAGACAACTATACCTCAAGGGGGTCTCCCATGTCGCCACCGTGCACGTAGACCCTTGGCAATGTGTCCGAGAAGACAGGGTCCCTATTCGAGCCAAGTGCTGGCAAAATCCATCAGACGGGCGAGTCAGTAGCTCATGGACTGTCTGAGAATATGGTCGGACTTCCTGTGTAGCTCTACACTGAGTGTCCGTTTTTGGTCCAGTATACCCTCTTTCCTGTCTTGAGCGCCGATCAAGCAAGCGACACTAACCTGGACGGGTCGTGTAGTCAAGCGCGAGAAAGAGCAACTCAATCCTGTACATGTCGGTCCGCCCTGAAGGAGGACACCAACGACGGTAATCGTTTCCGTGGTAAGTGTAGCGATGTGCAGGCTGTTGCAACTTACGCCTTACGCAACGTGCGCTCGTGCAGTCTGCAAACAGACAGCGGCGTAGCATTCCCGTGGGGAGGTCGCAGTTTGACTTTCACAGATGCTCAACGGGTGCCTCAAACGCCACCCCCGACTCAGACATCAGGCGGTCTGAGCAACGCAGCGCTCGCTGGTCGGGCGCCTGGAGATGCTGGGTTTGCCCTTCAGGACGCCTTATTCGAAGCCTCAACTTGTCTCGTGCTGTGGTTGCAGTGAAATAAGTGAAGGTGCGCTCGTCAGGCTGTGCCACACATCACCGCATTTGTCTGTGAATATGGCTGTTTTGTTCGCTACCAGTCGTTGTAGACACCCGTGCGCTTCGTACGAGTGGATAGCGTTGAAAAGGGGTGCATAGGCTGTTCCAGCTGACACGCGGGCCACGCGTGGCGTGCCTCGTACCCAGGCAAAGACGCAAATCCTCGGAAGCGATCTGAAGAGGTGAATGCCGGTCGTGTCGTTGTGGCGGCCGACGCGCCTTTCGATCATCCATGGCAGCGGTCAGGAACTTTGCTGAGCGTGTCGCCGCAGAGGCCCCAGCAACACGCTCTGCCTTGCAAGCGGCGAGCGGACAGCATCGCTCGGCTCCGCGGGGCAGGCGGCCAGGAACATGTCGGACACTGACGCCTAGGGACGGGGCCGTGGATAGCGTGTCCCACCGAAGCGTGGTGGGCCAGAGCTGGCGGAGCACGCTGAGCCAACATTCCTGACCGTAGACGTCTCAAGACTGCCGCACACCTAGCCGTTGCCGCACGATGTTGAGCCCCACGCCCAGACCCTGCTCCTCCCTCGTCGTCGTCGTCGTCGCCGTCGTCGCCCTTCCCTCCTCCCTCCTCCGTTCCTTCCTCCTCCTTCCTGCCTATTCCCTTCATCTCTCCTCGCTTCTCCCTCAATCCCCCCACCCCACCTCCCCTATCCCTGAATCCCTCCTACCTCCTCCTCCTTCTACTATCCCCTTCCCTCCTGCTACTCCTCCGCCACCCTCCTCCGCTACCCCTCGCCTCCACCCTCCACACATACACATTACGAACACTACTCGCCTCTCTCCCCTGACTCTGTCCAGAATATGTCCTGCCCTCTCCACGTGCGATTTTACACACAAATGTGATTATCATGCTGCTGGAGCCCCCCCAACGATCTGTCAATAAACTCTGTGCGTCATCTGCTTCGCCCTGTCCTTCGTAGAACGGCGACGGCGACGGCGGCGGAGACAACGGTGACGGCGGATGCATGATTTGCCGATTATTGTTGGGTGTTGGCGACGCTCAACTAGCCCCCGAAGAAGCGATGTGTTGCCAATTCTGGGGGGTTAAAAAACCAATTGCGCTTTTCACAAGTAAATGCAATCCGATTTTGTCCCGTGTTTCAAAACGGTGCTCCCGCTGCAGCGTGGGCCTCACTGTCGGATCGTCGCGTTGCTCCCGTGGTTCAGATTAGCGCTCTCGCCCCAGCGCAGGCCACTTTCCTGGATCCGAGTCCTTCTTCATCGTTTTCGCCCCCCTCCTTTCCCCTCCTCCGCCTTCTGGTGGTGGTCCTCCTGTCCTTCTGCTCCTCCTGCTCCTACCACTCCAATTCCCGCTGCTGCTGTTCGGCCCCGTCCTCCTCCATCTTCTTCATCTTCCTTCTTATCCTCCTGCCCTCTTTTTCGATTGCGCATGCCACGATTAGGTCTGTTAGGGAGTTCCAGGTCCGCTATGACACGCGTCCGCGGATAGACAAGAATCAACGCAATGGAAGGGACGGGTGAGAGGGGCAGAATGTCAGATTTGGCGCGATCGCATCTAGCAGCTAAGTGGGATCGCTCCCCCTCTCTTTCCCCCTCCCCCTCCCCCTCCCCTGCCCCTCCACCTCCACCTCCACCACCACCACTTCCACCTCCTCTTCGTCCTCGTCCTCGTTCTCATTCCCGCCCTCCTCCTCCTCCTCCTCCTCCTCCTCCGCCTCCTCTGGGTCCCGACCACAACCGGCTCGAGACTGGCTCCGAACTCCTCCTGGGGTACGCCCTGGCCAGTTGTTCACCCCGGATCGATTCTGACCGCCGCGGGCCCCCTGGAGGCCGAGTGAGGCCAAGCCGCCCGCTCGCACGAGGGCGGGCCCCATACAGGGCGCGATGGACAGCACCGGACACCTCTGCGCCGCGCAACCAGGGCAGCGCGCGGGTGTTCGTTTCTTCCCTCGCGGGGAGAAAAGGGAACCGGAGGAGGGAGGAAGGACGGGATGAGGGAAGGAGGGAGGGAGGGGGGTAGAAGAGGGAAGGAGGAAGGAGGGAAGGAGGGAAGGAGCGCACGGGAGGAGGCAAGGAGGGAGGGAGGGAGGGAAGTTGAGGAGGAACGTCATGGGGGGACTGGCCCAAGAGGGGACTATCGACCTAGAATCGGCGACACATCGCCGACGCATCGGCGAAAGGCCTCCGATAGCGAATCCGCACGTCCCTGGTCAGAGCGGGCCATTGGGCCACTGTCGGCGATGACTGGGCGATTGGGGCTCGATGCGTCCCGTCCCCGGACCCGATCCCCCTAACTTTGCCCCGGGTTTTCGGGTCATAACTCGGCTCTCCGGTGGCCGTTCGGGACGATCCAGGCACCCCAGAACACCCTCGGCGAGGCGCAGCCGCTGGAAGGCACCCGATGCTGGAAAAGCGCAGGGAACCGACGAAAACATTCAAAAACAATTGGAATCTCGCAGCCTTCCTCCACCCCATGGAGGTCTAGACCCCTTCCCTGGGCCGGATCCCTCCCTACTGATGCCGCTGGGAGGGGGGAATCCGTTCGATCCCCCAGAGCAAATTCCTGAACCTCGGCGGCGGTGACGATGGGGGCGAATAGCCCAGGGGCGGGCATTGCATGTATTCGCTAGGGAGCCTCGACGAAGACATGGACCATCGACGCCCTTGGATACATGGATCATCGACGCCCCTGGATACATGGGTCGCCCCAATCGCCCCCTTCCGAAAAAAACTTGTGAAACGCCCAGAGCACCTGCGCCCCCGGCGGCGACCACAGCGGCGCGTCCTCCTCGGCGCAAGCCTCTGAGATGCTGGAAGGCGACGGCGCGGACAACGAGGGACGAGGAGGAGGAGGAGGAAGAGGATGAGGAGAGGAGGGGGATGATGAGGAGGAGGAGGAGGAAAAAGGGACACGAAGGAGGAGAAGAAGGTGAAGGGGGACGAAGAAGAGGGGGGGGAAGAGGAGGATTACGATGAGGATGAGGATGGGGATGAGGATTGGGATGAGGATGATGATGGGGATAAGGACGATGATGAGGAGGAGGAGGAGGATTAGAAGGAAAGGGGGGAGGAGGAAGAGGGACGCTCACCAGGGGGGGGAGGCGGACCAGCAGCAACAGCAGCGAGGAGAGAGAACGTCCCAGTCCCTACCCCACGGCCTCTGCAGCTACACCTGGGACAGGAGGGCCAGGGCCCGCAGTCAGCAGCTGTCTGACCAGCATTGCCTTCTTTGCAATGACACGGGCCCTGGCCTCCATCAACACAAAAATCTGAGCGCTCGAAATCCTCCCCTTGCCCCCCCAAAGAATTAAAGGACGAGTGCAGGAGATCCGAAGCAACACCGAGAGACAGCAGCTGGGCACGATTGGAGACACAGGCACGATGGAGAAACAGGCGGGCGAGAGAGGGAATCTCACATAGGCAGGCAGACAGGCTACGCAACAGGCGAGAGAGAGCATCAAGGGCTACAGGGCATTCATAATAATGTCTCACATCATCTCCTCCCACAGATAGCTTTACAACCGAACATGCACGTCAGAGCTCCTCCTCCGTTGTGTCGAAACCTGCGGGTCGTGCACCATCCGTTACATATCCCTCGGAGCTGGGAGACAACAGTGAAGATGGGGAACTCGGCGCTGAGGTTGATTAGGCTCAGAAAACATATGTCAGCGTTGGCGGGAGAACATTCAGGATCAAAGTACTGGAGCCGAGGAAGAAGGAGGGTAGCAGCAAACGGTACACCAACTTTGGCACGCAGCATCTTGAATACCTTCCTTTGGAGGTCGGCGGCCTGCCTGTCCTACGGCCATCGATGGATTTGCTCAAGCGCATCCTGAACCGAACACAGGTGTTGAAAGATGCTCTGATCAACCCAGGAACGACGTCGAGGAAGGAGGACCCGCTCGTCATCTTCCAGTGCGCGATCCCACTCCCCTCGGGCAAGATACAATAGTGGGCTGCGCACGGCAACTCGATAGGCAGCTGCTTTGCACTCCAGCTCGAGGTGCCTTGGCTCGATCGGGGCACCGATGGTCTTCAAATTCTGCAACAACTTGGGCGGCGTGGCATGCCTGGGGCCATTCGCCAGGGACTGGTGGGCCTCGTGGACCGCTCGGAGAGCAACTTTGGGGGGAGGAAGGAACTGACCAACAAACGAACGTGTCGAAAACCCGACAATATTGTAGGCCGCCAAACTCGGGAGACGCCCCATCTTCAAACCTTTGATATGGCATATTCTCTTTTTGAGCTCGCTGATCGGATGCGCCCAAGAAGCCTCCGCACTTCCCGTCCCAAGGGAAATCCCAAGGTACCTAGCAGCCCCGACGAACTGGAAATTGGTTTCCTCCACCCCCTTATCCTGCAACTTCCGAACGACACCCTCCTTCCCCTTGACACCGAAGTAGACGACATATGTTTTGTTCGTGTTGACAGTGAGCCCCGCCCCCCTCTTGACGAACCCGAACTCTGACATCGCGACTGGCATGCTCTCGAAGAAGTGCCTACTGAATAGCCCGAGGTCGTCGGCAAAGACCCAAGTCGGCAGCAATGTTGCCTCAGCTGGAACTTCATCCTCCTAATACTTGGATCGAAACACAGGGCCCAGATCAGCCCCGAAAGCGGGCAACCTTGCTTTACCCCGCGGCAACATCTAATACCTTGCCCCTGGTCCCCTTGAAAACCTCGAAAAAATTGCATAACAATATCACGGTATAACTCTTGAATGGCCCAGCTGTTACACGGAGGGAGTTCCATCGCTCGCAGTGCTCGAAAACATCCAGGTGTGCGCCAAGGACGGGAAGGCACTGGCGATGTCGAAGAAGGCAGGGGCCGCCTCAGGCTTGCCACACACAGACACCCAGCGAAGCATCACGGCCTCGAGCTCGATGGTGTTCTCTGCAAGCTGGCGACCTCCTACAAAGCCACGCTGGCTAAAGTCAACTGAACTGGTGGCAATGGGCGCGAGGTACCCACCGATCATTTTGCTGACGTTTTTGTTGTCAGTGTTGCTCAGGGCGATAGGTCTCGTAGTTGCTGGTTGCCTAGAAATCATTTGGCGGCCCTCGCGCTCCGTGCCTTTGGGCAGAAAGACGCTCAAAGCAATGTTGAACTGGTGCGGGAGAGCCTCTCCCCTAAGCAGCGCTTCGTACAGCTCGTAGAGAGCCTCGTGCATCAATCTCCCTCGTCTCAGCCAAACCGAGTAGGGAAGCCCACCGGGGCCAACAGCTGAGTCCTTCAGAGTTTCGAGAAAAATAACATAAACTGTAGTACGGCATTTTGGTCACGGGGTTCGGGATGGCCTTGTCCACAAACGGGATTAACATGTCAATCGCCTCCTCCTCCACCTCCACCTCCGAGAAAACCGTCCGCCAGTGGGCCCGCAAAGCCTCGGCGCCCTCCGACGGGTTGACAATCGGCATCCCTCGGGGGTCTCGAATCTGCGCAAGGCCAATTTTCCTCGACTTCGGGGGCCACCCGGCTTGTCTTTTACGAAGAGCCTCGGCTCGGGCTTGCTTCTTGGCAAGGGGGCCAGGGGAGTCGTGATTTTCTTGCATAAGCTGGTCGATATGCTCGCGGTTCATATGATTCACCAGCTCCGAGATCAACAAATCTCGATAAGTCAGGAAATCCGCGGCAGGCCTTTGAAAGTACTTTGCCATCACCTCGCCGAACGGTTCTCTGCACGGCAAGCATCCAGGAAATCTTCTGGATGGGAGACCCGGGATATGCACCTGCAAGATCGGCCAGCACGGCCTGCTTCGCGGCGAAGGCAACCGACTTAACTTCAGCGATGTTGGTCTTCGGGTCGCCATGGAAATCCAGAGAAGCCGCACTGGCCTCAACGTGTCCAGGAAAACTCTGATGTTTGGCGACCCAGGGCGGTGTCCTCCCCAGGGAACCAGTCGCCAAAAGAGTAAGCCCCAAATAGACAGGAATATGGTCGCTGCAGTTGCCGACGCCAAAGTCACTCCCATGTACACCTGTGGTGGGGTGGAGGTCGAGCAGGGTGGGCGTGTAGGCATTCACATAAATGCGGGGAGGAGGGAGAAGAGGAGGAGGAGGGGGAAAAAGGGACGCGAAGGAGGAGTAGGAGGAGCCGCGGAAACCCAACCGTCGTCTGCCAAGGCGCCAAGGAAGAGAAGGATGAGGATGAGGATGAGCAGGGGAACGAGGATGAGGATGCGGATGAGGAGAAGGAGGAGGAAGAGGAGAAGAGCAGAAGGAGGTGGAGGAAGAGGAGGAGGACGACGAGGAGGAGGTGGAACGAACGTCCACATGAGTGCGGGCGTCAGAGCTTCTAGCTGTGGCCGCCGCCGCCGCTACCGCTGACGTGCGTGCGCGCGGACAGCTGGCCACCATTCGCGAACGCGGCAGGTGCAGGGCGCACCGCGCGCGGAATGCGCGTGCGTTTTCTATGTTTTGGAAGCGGAGGGGAGAAGACGGGTCGGGGCCCGTCGGCGTCGGCGGCCAGGGAGTGGGGGCTGCCGACCGCGAGGCAGCGCAAAGCGAGGTCCGCGTGCAGCCGCAGCGCGTGGCCCGCCGCTGCTACACCGTTGATGCACTGCTGGTAGCTGAGGAACTTCATGGTGCCGATGTCCTTGGTGAGGTGGTACATTCTGCAGCCTACCGCCAGACGCGCCACGCTGCTCGCGATACCGTTCTCGCCGTCGCACGGCCCCTCGTCGCCCAGGCCGAGGCGCGCGATCAGCGACCTGGACAGCGCGCCCCTCGGGAGCGGGAGGGTGTGCGGCATCCGCGGGCGCGCCCAATAATGCTGGATGCAATCCTGCGCGTCGCGTCCGAAATGGCCCCCCTCCCGCTTCTCGGCCAGCGCGTGCATGCGATGGGGCGTCGCCCAGCCGCCGGCCAGCGTTCTCATCGCGGCCCACGGGCGAACAGGAGGCATCGTCGCCAGGCCCGCGCGCAGGCGAACCACTTCGTGACGAGGTCGGCAGGCGCGCTGTCGGTGTCCAGCAAGTCGTCGGGCTCCTCATCCATGTCGTCGTCGTCGTCGTCGGCGGCGTGCCCCTCAGGCTCAGTGCAGTTGGCGGGCAGGAGCGCCTGGTGGCGCAGAACCCAGCGTCGGCGCGCGCGATGTTCAGCAGCGAGCTCGGCTCGACGTGCAGATTGGTCACGGCTGGCATCGATGCGAGGTCTTGCATCGCTATGCAGCGTCAGCTCCAGGAGACGCCCGACAAAACCACCATCCTGCAAGGCCTGTCGGCACATGTCACGTGCGATGCCACGCCTCTGCTCGTCAGTCTTGTGCGGCGCCTGGACGTCATCGCGAAACAGGGTCCATTTCAATACTTGACGCGCTAGTCCATCCAGTCCTGCTCGTTGCCAAAGCCGCGGTGCTCGAGCAAAGCGTCGGGAACTCCAGTGAGCAGCCCGGGCCCTGGCGCGTCGTTGGAGGCGATCTGGATCATCTTCAGCGAGCGCGAGCAGGGCGATGACGATGACGGGCCAGTTGGTTACCCAGCTGCTCGAGGAACCAAGCGGCCGAGCGGCGACGGATGGTCGCGGGCATGGTGCCAGTGCACAGCCACTCTTGAAGAGCAAGCAGCTTGCCCTTCTTCGGGGTGCGGCGCTTCATGATACGCTCGTCCCCTCTCAGGTTGTTGTTGAGCATCGCCGTGCTGTCCTTGCGGTCGGCGCGTCTGCGAGCCGCGCGCTTCGCGCCGCGTGCGCGGGAGCTAGTGTTCGCGGAGCGCCCGATACGTTTGAAATGCGAGCCCTTGCCCGCCGCGAAGAAGGTCGAGTCGAGAACGCCTCCGCCCGGCATCCCGGTGCGGTCCCAAAATTTGGTGGGGGGCCCCTCTAGTGGTCAGTGAGAGCCGCGGAGATCGCGGGCCATCGCTTCGATCTTGAACCCGCGCCAGGGAGGGCGAGCCGTCGCTGGGATGGCGCGCGCGTCCTCGGCGGGCGTGGTGTTCGGGGGGGCCCGAGCGATGTCGCGTATCCTCGCTAGAATGATGCCGAGGTCTTCGGCGCAGGCGCACAGGAGGCCTCGTTGGATTGCCTCCAACTCTTCGCCAGTGGCCCCCACGAACGGGGGGGGCCAACGCCCGGGCCCGTCGCTCAAGTGGCGGCCCTGCGCGACCCCACAGGCGGCAATGAGCAGGTGTCGGCATGCAGTGGCAGGCTTTGAGCAGCTTCAGCATGCCGCCGCAGATTCCCCAGCAGCGTAAGACATTCCGCATCCATTGGTGCACGATGCTCGGGAAGGCCGCCGCGACGCCCATGCAGGCGAGGACAGGCATGTCCTCGGCAGCGGACTGCAGCGTGCAAAGGCGACGTGCCTCCGCGCCGCCCACCACTGCGTTCCGCAGGATCTGGCGGCTGTGACGAAACCTTGCTGCTCGATCGCGGTGTGGGCTGCAGCTTGGCGAAGCGTCTTAATCGCTGCTGACGCAAGAAACATGACGTCGGTATTTTCCAAGGATAAGGGGCGAAAGCCGTCGGGGGGGGGCGCGTGCACTCCATATTGCCGAGGGGCTCGTCGCCCTTGGAGAGGATGGGCAGGAGGGGGGAAGTTGAGGTCGCATGGGGGCGTAGGGGACGACGCGCGCATCATGATCGTTGCCCAGCTCGGCGAGCACCTCGAAGCTCGTCGGGGCGCGGGGCCAAGCGCGACGCGGAAGTCGGTCAAGGCCGGGGGCTGAATTGCCCGCGAGTCGCGCATCGCGCCCCAGGCTGGCTGCGTCAGGGATGGGGGGGGTCCAGCATGGACCTCTGCGGTATGACCGAGTCGAGATTGTTCGCGATCGTTTGCTCGCCCGCCTGCCTGGCCGCTAAGACCAGCTCCCAGTGGTTCATGATCGCAGCGTGCACGGCCGCGCGGTTGCTCGTGATGGCGCGCGCTGTGCCCGCGGCGATCTCGATGCCCGTCCAGACTTGGCGCTTGGCGATGGGCTTCCAGAGCTCAGCTGGGCGTCCCAGTTGCCGTGGACGCTGGCTCCATCTGTTGCCAAGCTGGAGCATGTTCTCCGCGTGGTCCGCGCGTGAGCGGGCAGCTGCCTGGGCCCTGCGCTCGTCGCAGAGGCGGCGTGCGTCGTGTCGGCCCCGTGCTTAGACGCGTCGGCGTCGACCAGCTCCACCCAGTCACTGGCGGGCCGCAGGTGGTTCACGGCGGTCTTGGTGTCGTCGATGAGCGCGCAGGCGAGCGAGAGTCCTGGCGCCGGGTCGCTCTTGCGATGCTGCCAAGAGGCATGCCGCGAACCTCCTAGGAGATGGTGGCGGACGAGCTTGTGGGTTCCGCAGTCGGAATCTGGATCGTGGTGTCTCGCGCGCGCTTGGCGCCTCTGTCGCGGTGGCCTTCAGCGCCCGCCATTTGGCTGTCGCGTTCAGTCTGGGGGCGCCGGCGGCCTCGAGGGAGCGCTGCGCGCGGTGTTGGTAGGGGGGCGAGTCGATAATGAAGGCTGGAATCCCGCGCTCGGTCTGGGGGCGAGGAGGACTTGGACGCGCCGCGTAGCTGCGTGGTCTTGCGGTCGCTGCCCATGCCGTTCGGGCCCTCCAGCGGCGCGTCATGGCGCGAAGATAGCATTAATGTTCGGCGTCGCGTGGGCCAGGCAGCGAGATGACATGCGTGTACATTTGGGGCTCCGCCAGGCTGGCCGCGCACCCGTGCGCCATGGAGAGCGACGCAATCTCGGCCATGTCCTTGAAGGGCGGGTGCTGGTAGCGCTGCGCGGCGGTGGCGTCGGCGTCGTCGGGCGAGGTGATGCCCTTTGGGATGTGTTCGGAGACGTTGAAGTCGCCTAGCAGGATCAGCCGACGCTTCTCTGGACGCTCCTTAGCATGATCGAGAAGGGCACGCCAATGCCGACGAAGCTCAGCTCGGTCTCGAAGAATGAGATCATGACTATGCGTGCTCAAGATGTTCAGTTCGCGCTGCCGCCTGATATCTGTGACCCGGAGCCGATGCGTTCGCCCACGAACGACACATTCGAAGTGCCGAAGTGGTGAGGAAGCCAGTTTCGACAGCCGTGGTGGAGTACGTAGGTGGAGCAGCTGCAAAATGTGGTGCGTCACTTGACAACAAAGTGTTTTGGCAGGGATCAGCACTCTGGTCGAGGTGATCCCTACCACAAGTCGCACCTGCAACAACATCAGCAGCGGGTTCTCCAGGCGTGCTATGGGTTGCCTCGGCGCGGTTGGCCTACGCCTGGCAGTGACGCGCGGCGTGGGCGTGTTCGGTCGAGTTCGCGAGGAGGTTGAGGTCGTCGATGGTGCCATGCGTCTCCGCAGGGCAAGGGCCGCGCGTTGACGAAATCGTGGGAGAAGATGTCGGCGTTTGTCTTGGCTTCTGCTGTCGGAGCGGCCAAGGAGAGCCTGTGCGCTCCAGAACGCGACTTCCGGCCCCTCTGCAGCGGGGCGCTCGATCCATGGACGCCATCTCGTGCTAAAGCCACTGCTCTGCCAGCAGTGGGTCTGCGAAGGCGTTGCGGAACTCGTCATTGCTGGCGTTCTGGGTGGCGTCGGTGTAGCCAAGACCAAAAGCTGCCACGGCCCAGCGAATGGTGGTGTGATGATCAGCGGTCGCGTCGACAGTGCTGTGCACGAGCGCGTCGCCCTCTGGAGATGTAGCTGAGCGACCTGTGGAAGCGAAGCTCGTGGTCGGAAACCTTGGTGAGTTTCTTGACCTGGGCCTCGCGTCTGGCCATCCTGGGGCTCTTGTTGCCGCGGACATTCACAGGCGCAGTCGCGCCAGCGATGCTGATGGTGAAGTCACGCCAGTCTCGGCCTATGCAAGATGCACCGTGTAGCCTGCGGGCTCTCGGCTCGGCGACGAGCGTGCAGCCGGTGATGGGAGGAGGGGTGGCTTTTGGCGGAGTCGTTGGTGTTGAACACCACCGGGTTGGAGTCCACACCCGCCGCGCGGGACCAGTCGGCAAGAGCAGGTCGAAACTGAGACTCGTCGAACTCGGTGGCGGTGGCTTCGACCTGGTTGGCTGCTACACGCACTGGGGTGGCCATTGCTTCCTCGAGTTGCTTCCGAATGTGAGCAGGGAGGGCTTCGGCACGAAGCTTCGCTGCCTACTCGGCCCAGGGGTCCGCCGCTCCTTTGCCAGCAACACCTCCATTGCCACCTGTGCGCTTTACGCCGTCCGCGTCCGCAACCATGACAGCAAGCAGTGGCCCGCGACAGCCACGAGAACAAATATGGGAGCGTGAGAAATTTGTGAGGACATGCGAAGCAACACCGCGGGCACGATGTTGCGAAAGCGAGTCCTGAGCGGTCCCTGGGCCGAAGGTCTCCGTGCTCTGCCACAGGGCGGAACCAGAGCCAAAACGGCTGCGGTGGAGGAGGGGGAGCAGGAGGAGGAGGAGGAGGAGGAGGAGGAGGGCGTGACAGAGGCAGAGCATGACGAGGAGGAGCAGGACAAAGACGGAGACCGTCGCTCTCGGGTCACGACTCGGGTCTCCAACGGCCGTTCGGGACGATCTGGGCACCTGCGGAACGTTTTCGACGAGGCGCACCTGGTGGAAAGCACCCCGATGGCGGGAAACTGCCGAGAACCGACAAAGACGTCCGAAAACTTTGAGCCCCGACGACGACGACGACGACGACGACGACGACGACGACGACGACGACGACGACGACGACGACGACGACGACGACGACGACGACGGCGGACGCCGAGGGCCGCTGAGGGCCGTCGAGGGCCTCTGCGGCGCCGGGGGGCGACTCGGCGCCGGGGGGCGACGCGGGCGCGTCCTGCGCGGCGGGCTCTGGCCGCTCCGCGGAGGGCTCCGCAGAGGGCTCCGGCTGCTCGTCCATGGGCACCGCCTCCAAGGAGGGGCCGGCGCCGCCGCCGCCGCCGCAGCTTGCCACCTCGTCATCGTCCTGTCTCCACCTTCTCCTTCCTCCCCTTCCTCCCTCCTCTCCCTCCCTTGTCCTGCTCCTCCTCCCCTTCTCCCTCCCTTCTCCTACTCCTACTCCTCCTCCTCCTCCTCCTCCTCCTCCTCCTCCTCCTCCTCCTGCTCCTCCCTTTCTTCTTCTTCTTCTCCTTCTTCTTCTTATTCTTATTATTATTATTATTATCCTTATTCTTCTTCGGAATCGGCCGAATCTAGGTCACCACGGGCAGTGGTCGGCAAGTTGGCTCAACGCCGACCTTCTTCTCCTCAACATCATCCACCTCTTCTTCTCCAACATCTCCTCCCCCTCCTCCTCCTCTTTCTCAGCCGCCTCTTCCCTGCGCCCGTTCTTTCCCGCTCTTCCTACTCTACACGCACGCCTGAAGCATGTACACTTCAACTTCATGCCAGCGGTCACCTGCTATGTGGTTTCCGTAATTCACTCCTCGTTCCTCATCCCTGCTATCTTGCTTCCCTCAATCTCTATCTCTTCGCCCTCCTCCTTTCCTATCTGCTGTCCTGCTCGTCATCTGTGTCATTACCTTCTCTACTTCGACGTTCTGCCCTCACGTCCCTGGAAGGGAGGAAGCGGCTGGGGAGGAGGTAGGAGAACGGAGGGAGGGCGGGGGAGGAAGGGGCACGAGGAGGGGGAGAGGGAAAATGATCTTCCTCCATCCTGCTCAGCTCCTCCGTGGAGGAGGCCTCTCCCCGTCTCCCCCCCCCCCGCCCCACCCGTCCCTGCGCCCTCTCTCCCACCTCCACTCTCCTCCTTGTTCCTCCGCCCCTCCCCGTGCCTCCTCTTCCCCCCCCCCCCGCTCCTCCTCCTCCTCCTCCTCCTCCTCCTCCTCCTCCTCCTCCTCCTCCTCTCCCCTCCTCCTCCTCCTCCTCCTCCTCCTCCTCCTCCTCCTCTCCTCCTCCTCCTCCTCCTCCTCCTCCTCTCCTCCTCCTCCTCCTCCTCCTCCTCCTCCTCCTCCTTCCTCCTCTTCCTCCTCCTTCTCCTCCTCCTCCAACTTCTCCTCCTCCTCCTCCTCTTCTCCTCCTCCTCCTCCTCCTCCTCCTCTCCTCCTCCTCCTCCTCCTCCTCCTCCTCCTCCTCCTCCTCCTCCTCCTCTCTTCCTCCTCCTTTTCCCTCCTTTTCCTCCCGTTCCTCCTCCTCCTCCTCCTCCTGCTTACACCTGGCACCTGATGGCCGCAAGGGTCGTCCGAACGTAGCCTCCGCCCCTCGGGGCCGGTCGGCCTTGAGAGGGGGCTTATCAAACTAATGCCGTGCAGCCCTCGGAGCACCGCTGCAAAGGGGTCACCGGCAGGAGCCCGCATTGAAAGAAAACAGGTCGATGTACAGACGGACAGCGGAGTAGAGGAAGGGGGAGAGAAACGAGGCCTCATAATTCGCCGGCCCAACGGGCCAGAGGCGTGCAACGATCTCCGGTAACTGGATAACAATATTTCTAGTTTGCGCGCACGGGGCGGCCCCTGGGGGTCCCCAGACGAAAAGTACCCCGGCAAGGTCCCGGGCGGTCCGACTCAGAGATGGTTTTCCTCCTGGGCACCGCCCTCAAGGCCCTCCAGAGAGCCCCAAGAAGGGCCGCGAGGCCGCCAAGAGCCCCCCAAGATGGTTCAAGAGTGCTCCGAGATGCCACACGCTCGCTTCAAGGCGCCCAAGACGGCTCCCAGACGCCCAAACAGGCTCCCAAGATGCGTCCCAAGAGGGCCCCAAAAGGCAAACATCGTCCCATTCCTTAAGCAAAACGTGCATGTTTAGCATATTCGCCACTTCAGCTTTCATAACGTCAAAAACTGCCCAAGAGGCCCCCAAGATCGCCCCAAGACGGCCCAAGAGGCCCCCAAGAGGGCCCAACAACCGCCCCAGAAGGCCCCACGACGACCCAAGAGGCCTCCAAAACAGCCCAAGAGGCCCCCAAGACGGCTCCAAGAGGGGGTCCAGACGGAAGACCCGCACAGATATTTCGAGCCCTCGGCCCCAAGAGGCCCCCAGGAGCGCTCATGAGGCCCCCGAAAGGCTCCGAAGAGGCCCCAAGAGGCCCCCAAGAGGCGCAAAGATGCCCCCACGAGGCCTTCAGGAGGCCCCCAAGAGGCACCCAAGCGGCCCCAGGAGGCCCCCCAAATGTCCCCCGCAAGCACGCAAGCAAGTGTCAACCATGCTACAATATGGGCCGGCGGAGTGAGCGAAACAATTGAACATGAACGAGGCAAGATAGATACGCGTAGGGAATGTTGGACAGAGTGATGCAAGCCCGTGGCGCTGCATTGTGGAAAAGGTGGGAGGGTCTACTGGCCCTGTTGGGCCAGCGACCTGGAGGATGCCCTGGCCACCTCTCATCTGAAGTGCCCACCTTGCTCAGCCACCAGTGAGGTGGCGTGGAGAGGTTCTTGCCCTCCGCTCGCAACTGCCTTGGCCAACGCCTTGGCTGCCATCGGTGGCCGAACGAGCCTGGCATCCGTGCCAGGATTGGGCTGCGTGCAGCTGTGAAGCGAAACGGTTAGAGGCAGACTACTGTTGGTTTGCTTTGCGGCGGCAAGCCCTCGCCAAGGCAGCCCGCGGTTGCTCCTGCCGACGCCCGCCCAATACCATGCCGATCCTCCCGTTGATCGTAGCCAAACGTGAGATGTCGCACAACTCTAGGCTGCGATCACCCGCTGTTGGCGACAAGTGCGGCTGAACGGCCAAGTGAACTATGGTGAAACTGAGAAGTGCGAAAGAGGTTGCTCGTACTTTGCTGGCGCGAAATAGTGGTGCGGCGGAGGCGGTCAATGTCCACGCAGACCAAGGCAGCCCTTCCTTTAACGGTCGCCGAACGTGGGATGTCGCATTCATGTCGGCTGCGATCACCCTCGGTTGTCGTCGGGTGCTGCAGCCTGGTCACCTTAGGCAAGGTGAAACTGACGGGTCCGAAGGAGGTGGCTCAAATGCAAGCGGCGGAAAATGAAAAGGAGGTGCGGTGTGAGATGTGTAGCAACGCAGTGGCAGTGGTGGGCGGTGGCGCGCACTATCCACGCTCGCCCAGGTGGAAGGCGCAAGGGCCCTCCCATCGGCTCATAGGAATTTCCTACGAGCGTCCCCGAGACCCACGGCGGGATCCTTCGCCTGCAGGCAGGCGTAGGGTTCCCTGCACGTTTGCCTCGGGGCCTCCTGAGGGTTTTCCGTCGAGCTTGATGGAAGCATGCGCCTTCCTGGCAGCGGGTGGGTGCCACGCTCGTACTGGGCAGGGTTGCCGAGCCCACTCTCGCCAAAATGGAAGGCATAAGGGCCTCTCCCCCAGCGCATAGGACCCCCCAAAGCGCCCCCCATCCCCGCGACTGGTGCCCTCCTCCGCCAGGCGGGAACTGGGTACCCAAACCGCGGGGCTTGGGGCCGCTTGGACAGGTTCCTCCGTGCGCGGGGGAGGTTTCTGCCTTCTGTGGCGGTGGCGCACGGTTGGTGTGTACTGGCGGCCCTAGGTCGCGGCTGCGGTCTAGTCTGGAGGAGGGGATGCAGAGAGCGTGGAACGATCGGTGCCTGGGACATGGTGTCGCCTGCTTGCGGCCGCGGCCGACATGGCCCTAGCCAGGACGGCCAACGGTGAGTCCTTGCCCACTCCCCCCCGAGCTCATATATCGACCCTTCCCCCGCCACAAGAGAGAGGTGGTGGGAGGTTAGTGAGGTGAGGCGGGGGGGAATGGGGCTGCAAGCGGATGGGCCTGGAGCGAGTGAAGGTTGGAGGTTGGTGGAGGCCTTCATGAGCATGGTGCGCTTGTGTGTGAGACAGTGGTCCACTGCCTTCGCCGTACACTGCCGTTGGAGAGAAGGGGAGAGAGCAATTTACAACCAGCTGTGCTGCTGCCGATGATTGTCAGTGAGTGCGTATGTTTTGGCGTGAATGCAATACCGAGAAAATAAAAAAGGTGTGGAGCAGCTGGTGCGGTGTCGTGTTTGTCCTTGAGCAAAACTGGTCAACTCTGAAATGTCAGGTCTGTGACGCACTGATGGGCCACCGTTCGGCCGGTCCCATCCTGTGGCTGGCGCCTCACGGTTGTTGGCCAGTAAAGGGGTCTTCTGATACGCCGTGAAGTTATAGTCGAGCTGGTAGGTGACTTCGTAAGGCGGCCATGGCTGCCGTTCTTGGTCGGCTTCGATCGTCGTGCCCGCCTCGGGGCTGTTTGCCTGCTGGTCTTGCTATCCCGCGGGGCTCCCCTGTCCTTCCCCTTGCGGTTGGGTCGCTGGTGTTTCCAAGTTGCCAGGCTGGCCGGGATGGATGGGGTCGTTGGTTGGCGTATGTTCGCCATTGTCGGTGATCGTAGTGCGGAGGTGTGGTAGCACCTGCCGGTGGTCGTTGTTGGTCAGTGCCAACTGGGCGTCAGCGTTTGGGCTGTGGAGCTGCTGCGGGTCGGCCCCCGCTTCGGTTGTGGGCTGGGCGCGTAGGTCTGCTCGCTGCTCTCTCCAGGTTGCGAATTGAACGAGGACTTCCTCTAAGTGGTTGAGCCTAGCGTCGGTGTTGCCGAAGCTGGCCTCCTCGTCCTGCAATGCTGGTAGCCTTGCTGGCGTGTCTTGGCACTGTTGCTCACTGTGTGGGTTACAGCTCGTGCCTGCGCTGGGCTAGTTACGATTGGTTGAATTTTGCGATTGGCCCGCTGCGCCGTGGTGCTGGGTCTCGTGCTCCCGCGTATCGGCGGTCAGGTCAGAGCCATGGGCGTTGATCAGCTCGTTGACCTTGTCGATGGCAGCAGCGGCGGTGCCCCTCTGGAGTCGGATGGTGAGGAATGGCACGGGCTGTGACGTCGGACTGTAGCGTATGCCCAGCTTGATTCGCGTGAGTAGGCTGCGGGGTTGGTAGTTCACTGGCGGCTGGCGTGGGTGTGTCTTCGCAGTCGTCGCCGATCTGGTATGTCAACATCGTTGCGAGCGGATGGCTGACGAGGTGGGCGAGTACGGTCTGCCTACTTGTCACTGCGAAAGGACTCCTTCCTTCCTTCCTTCGCGCCCTCGAGGCGGTCCCGTGCCCGCGGGCCTGGCGCCCCCCCTGCCATGAAGGGGCCCCAGGACACACACATAAATACACACAAATCAAACAAATCCCCATATTTCCGTATATTTTCTGGGTTTCTGTCTTCCCCACCACTTCCCATATTTTCCCATATTTTCCTGGAAATCGACGATTAATTGTGTCTGTGTGTTTCTTTCCCTCCTGATGCCAGGCCATGCGGTCAGGGGCTGTTCTTGAAGATCGCCTGCGGCTTCCGCTGCGCCGCCGGCGTGCCCCGTGGCCAGGGGCCAGGGTGCGGGCTACCCGCTGGGCGCGCCGCCGCTGCAGGCTGCAGGGGCGCCACGGCGAGAGCTTCCCAGCCCCGCTGCCTCCCCAGGCGACTCCTCAGGGGTCAACCTCCTCCTCCACCTCGACCTCCTCCTGCTCCTCCTCCTCCTCCTCCTCGCTCTCTCCCTTGCTTTCCTTCTCCTCCTCTCCTCCCTGCCTCCCGCCCTGTTCCGTTCCGTTCCTGGCTCGCGTTCCGTTCCTGGCTCGCGACACCCAACACCTATTGCAGATCATGTCGCGCCCAATTATGCCAGCCGGTTGCCACTTAGTCAAAATAGACATCAAATTCGCCGGCCCAACGGGCCAGGGCGTGCTAAGATCTCCGGCACCTGGTTAACAGTATTTCTAGTTCGCGCGCGCGGGGCGGCCCCTGGGGGTCCCCGGACGAAAAGTACCCTGGCAAGGTCCCGGCAAGTCCCCGGCAAGGTCCCGGCAAGGTCGGGTCAGAGATGCCGGAGTTCGGTTTCGGAGTCCAAGAGGGCTCCAGATCGGTCCAAGAGGGCCCCGAGAAGCTTCTAGACGGTCCAAGAGAGGCCCGAGACGGCCAAAGACCGCCCGAAGACGCCCCAGATGGCCCCAAGACAGCCCAAGAGGCCTCCAAGACGCTCCAAGGGCCTTCCAAGAGGCCTCCGAAGAGGGCCCCAAGTTGCCAAAATCGTTGATTTTCATGTGTTTTTTCTATGTTTTTTTGCGTTCTGGCCTTTTCGCTTCCGGACGCTCCAAGAGGGCCCAAGAGGCCTTCAAGACTGCTCCAAGACGGCCCACGAGGCTCCCAAGACGGCCCCGGAGCGGCCCAAGAGCGCCCCCCAGACGGCCCAAGTGCTGCCCAAGGCGGACCAAGAGGCCCCAAGACGGGCCCAAGAGGGGCTCAAGAAGGGAACCGAGAACTGAAAAATCGAGCCCTCCGCCCCAGAAGGCGCCCAGGACCCCGAAAGAGGCCCCAAGAGACTCTCCAAGACACCCCCAAGACGCCCCAATAAGCTCCCGTGAGGCCCCAAGAGGACCAACAACGTCAGGCCCCAGGCCCCAAGAGGACCAACAAATACCGCCAAGAGCCCGCCGAAAGCCCCGGGGGGTTTTGTGTACTTCAGGAACAACCGATCGTAGGTTAGAACCTGGATATACGTCAAGATACCAAGATAATCGTAACTGCAACTTTCCAAGACATCAGTATATCTCGAAGATCAGGATGTGGAAATACAAGCACAGCAACATAATCCCAGCAAACATAATATCAAGATCAGATCAAGATCCGTTCGACATTTGCATTCATAGCACAACTCTTTAGCAAGAAAATTATCTCACGGTAAGAGTCGGCCCCTGGCGTATGATCTCTCAGGTCGTCGCATACCTTTGGCTGTCGCCACATAGTACATCCCCATTCGGACTTGCATCACCATCAGTTCTGACCTGCGTTCTGCCACTCGATGTGCACCGTACGTAATCCACCCCGAACTTGACGTAACTCTCGGTTGAGAAGTCCACCAGCTCAAGGGTACGGTGTAGAACTCAGACAACTGCATCCTGAAATCCGCGAAGGCGGCACACTCCGTCACGCAGTGACGCACAGACGGCCAGAAGGCCTCACCACAGCACGGGCAATACGGATCACAAGTAAAATCATGATTTCCTCCTCGCGTATGAGAGCTGGCCGCACCACACATGTATATCATCACTTTTTGCCACTCGCAAGGTGCGAGTGAGTCCCGAAACTTCTTCCACGCTTTGCCCGAGAGGGCCTCCACATCAACATCCTCCATACCAGGGAAATCTCGTCGTGCTGCCGTCGCCTTTGTCAAAGCTTTGAGCCGACATATAGCACGTAGAACATGAAATGCTCGCTCTCCTTCAGAGGTCCAAAACCCACGACGGTTCTGGAAGATACGCTTCACTCTCGGATCATCTTCCTCCTCCGACATCTGAAATCTGATCCCCCTCTCGGCATCGTACTGCACGTACTCCAAGCCTATGGCCTCGAAGAAGTTCTGCAGGTTGTGCTCGACCCAGGGATTGAAATCGATCTCCCAATCAGTAAGACGACGAGCCGCCGTCAAGACATTCGAAAAAAACAGGATGGTACTGAATATGCAGGGCCCAGAAACGCCCTCGGCACCACCATACACACCTCGTACGTAACACTGAACTCATAAGCTTCGCCGCCACATCAGCAGGTGGCAGCATGAACACAGGACAGCACCAGAGCCATCTCGGTACAACATATGCACCTGCAGCACGTAGTCGGGTCCTCGAACTTCCTGGGAGCTGTCGCAAAGCGGCGATAGCTGCATAAACCTTCCTCCAACCTCCCGCTGGGGTGACGGGGGCCGTGGGATCATCTGGCACCGCTTCGACTCCAATATGCTCGATACGGCGAAACTCTCCACGATGCCACTCTTGTCGCTTGCCTTTATTCTCCACGGCCCCCGTCTCCAGGTCGAAGCGGTCAGTCGTGTCGATGTCGTTGCGTAACTGTTGATCCGATGCACACACTAGCGAACGATCGTCCATGAACAAAAACTGCTCACCCTCGACCTCCCACGGGGCTAGGACGGAGCAGAGTACTTTGGGCGCACAGGAGTCTCCCTGCGCCAGCCCTCGCGAGGGCCATACTTCTTCCTTGGCCAGAGCGCCGGCCACTTGGCATCTCCTCGGCCCCGTCCACGCAGCAAAAGACACCGCCACCAGATCTGACGGTACCCCAGCGGCATGAAGCGAAGCAATCCCCACTTCGTGGGGCACCTGGTCGTAGCACTTGCTGAGGTCACGCTCCATGCCCGCCTGGGCAGTGATGCACGCCTTCAACCAACTGCACACAGCTTGGCACACTGATGACTCCGTCTTGCAGGCGTACTGGGCAGCCTGCGGGGACGGGAAAGCTTCTTCACATGCTGTCAACCAGCTTCTCAATAGTACACTCGCCACCCCAATCGGTCGGGATGCTCCGCGCTTCTTCGGAATACCCACAACTCTCCAAGAAAAAAGTAGCCTCTGCAAGTTCACCACATCCTCGGGCCTCTCTTCCACGGGGACGGTCTTGACCAAGCCATTGGCGCCCAGGAACTTCGTCGTGTCCAGCCAGAGGTCGTACAAATCCTGCACTAGGAACTCGAACGTCACGGCCATCATCTTCAGCTCTCGTGCTGTCCAGCCGTCATAGCCGGCGCTTCCTTTCCCTCGAGCGATGGCTCGCAGGAACTGCTCCCAACTCGGACTCCAGCCCACCTGGGCCTTGCTCCGAGGGAGGGGGCGACGCATCCGCCGAGCATGCTCCACCCACGATGTCGAACATGCCTCGCCGTTGAAGTCCTCGGGGCGCCAGATCTTCCGCCACTCCTCGGACATGTCGTCAGCTGTGAAGGCGGGGCACTCCGTCGGGTCGTGCATGACCGAACTCGCTGCCCTCCACCACTCAGGATCGATAACTTCTTTGGCACAAATCTGCTTCCAAGAAGAACTGTCCTCCGCCCTCAGGCGTCGCTCCATCTTTGCAATCGCCTCGGATACTCGGTCATGTGCACGGCCCAAGCTCGGCAGGCCAGCACATCCATTATCAATAACATGCCGCAGGCACAACTCAATGAAAACGTCGAGCTGGTGGCCCTCCAACTTCATGTTCGGTGGGTTCCTTCTCAACTGCTCAGCGACGCTACGGCCCAACTTCTTCAGTCTTGACAAGATGATGGGCTCGTTCGGCCTGCGCTTCGGCGTCGATGCAACAGGCCTTTCTTCTGGGATCGATCCTTTGGGTCTCTCAGCGCTCCCACTACGTATGAGTATGCCCGACTCGACCCCCAGCTCCATCACACGGTTGGCCCGTGCATGCCAGCGTGCCCATCTCTGCGTCATCGTGTGCGTCCTCCCCAGCATAGGTAAGGTCTGGCCCACGTCTGACCGCAGTGCTTCAACATCCTGAGGTAACACCAGAGTACTCTGATCCAGCTCAAAAATCGATGTCCGCTTCAGTCTCGTCGTAGGTCCCGCCATCGCACTCCAGGATGTCGTACACAGAACCAGGCCATGGTACGGGATACCTTGCACAAAAACCGTAGAAGTATGCTGAACGGCAGCACCCGAGGCACAGACTCTGGTCGGAAACGTCCCTGCCAGCGTTGTCGGTGCCGTCATCTGGCATACAGTCGCATGAATCGGTACACACTGCTGATAAGATTGCCTCCAGTTCAAATCTCCAAGAATGATCCAGGGCTTTCCTGCAGCGATAACTTTAGTCCAGTCGAAAACTTCGTCCATCCATTCAGTACTTGGGACCGAGGCAGGTCCATATGCGGATACAATCGTACCAAAAGCTCCACGTACGCCCATGTACCTGTGGCTTTCCGATCGAAAAACTTTGACTCCACCAGCTCGGGGCCGCCAAAATACAGCGGCCCCCCCTTGCATAGTAACTGACTTCGCATTCTTCCCAGGCGGTACACCAACAGCACATCTCCAACCCAGTTTCTGAGCCGTGGCCGATACCCACCGTGGTTTCTCCGTATGTAGGCGTACCTCCTGCAGGGCAAGGAAGTCCACCTCTCTCAGGTCGTCGTGCGTGAGCAGCTCCTCCAGCCTGGCGGCATTCAGAGCTGTGACGTTGATCGTGGCCAAACGCATCTGGCCGCTTCCTGGCGGTGCCTCCCCCCCCCCGCGCAGCGGGTCGCGGGGGTCGGGGCACCCTCAGCACGATGGTCCCGAGGTAGACGCTGACGCCGAGGCCGACGTCGTCCGCGCAGCAACCTTCTTCCTCCAGGCCTTCTTCCCACGCTCACGCTTCTGGATCAGGTAGCGCTCGCGCTCGGGGCCGCTCTTCAGCCTCCTCTTGTCCAGCTTCTGGTTCTGGATCCGCTTCCTCTCCTTGTGCTCGGGCCTCTTGGAGTACTCGGCCCAATACTTCTTCCTCTTTTCACGCTTGTCGGGTCCGAAGTTGGCCTTCTTCTTCTGGATGCGCTTCTGCTCCACCTCAAAGAAGTGCCGCATACGTGCTACCCCGACCGTACTCGTCAAGAACTGCTTCCGCGTAACTTTGTTATGTCTTCCACTGCATATGTTCCACGGCGCCTGTCCGAGCGCCCTCTGGAGACCACACCTCGTGCACTTGTAGGCCGTGAAGTTCTTCGTGGCGTTCGGGATCGTCAACACCGTACGAGGATCATATTCACACACGGCCTCTTGAATACTAATAGGTAGCTTCGCCTTCCACAACAGATGCTTGGCAAACCCACGCTGGCGTACGTTCTCACGAATCTTGGCGGAGTTCGCGAGAAACTGGGAGATATGCGAGTGCACAATCTTCCCGATCTTGGGCGCCGGCTTGCCCTGGCACTTCCTCCAGTGCCTGTCCGCCTGCACGCTGAGCAAGGAGTTGTACTTGCGCTTCCCCAACCACACTTTGTCGGATGTGTCGGGCGTCCAACCACACTTGTCACACTTGTAATATTCACCAGTTTGCCAAGACCAAAACTGCTTAAAAGCCTCATCATCGTCTCCTGCAGCTTCCTCCGCCAAGGCCTCGGCCCCGCCAGACTCCAAGCCCAAGAGACTGCGCATCTCGTCTGCACGTTCATCCAGCCCAAGGATACTCGCAATAGCCCCTGAGTGCGCTGTCGGTGTACTGCGCAGCCCAAGAAGAGATAACATATCAGCATCATCACCGTCATCCTCGCCACTGCCCTGTAGGCCATGCTGGGGGTACGGGAAAGCTTGATCACGCCACAGCCGTAACGTGTTCTGGTACTCGGGCAAGTCCTGGATGTCCGCTCGAGGCTCCAACCACTGGTAGTGCTGGTCCTCCAAGGTCAACCAGATCTCCTTCTTCTTTGTCTTAGAATTCGGCTCTCGTCCGTACAATATCCATTTGCCATTCGCATCTTTCGCCCAGATATAGATATCCGTCTTCGCCTCGTGCGCAAGTAGCCTCACCGCCAGGGCTCCCGCAGGGTTCCCCGTCGTGCCGTGATACTCCGCCTGCAGCTTCGTCGTCCCATACACCTTCTTCAAGCCTGCCCTCTGCACAAGCATGCGTAGGTGGCCCTGGATCGGACCCTTCGGCTCAAAGGCGTTGATGGGCGGTACCCGCCCGCTCGGAGAGACATGATGCAGACCACGGCCCGCAGCAATATAAAAGCAATCACCATCACCAGCACATTGAATAACTTTGAACCACTTAGAATATGGAGTCACATATTTACCCACAGCTTTGCCATCTTCGCCTCTCTGCAACTTCGGCTTGGACTCGACTTTGGTCTCCTCCTTCGCCTCCGTCTTGACGTCATCCTTCGTCGGCGTGACCGTTGGTGCTCCGGCAGGCGGTGTAGTCGCTGCTGGAGTCGTCGCCGTAGCCGTCGGAGCTGCCTGGCCTCCAGTATCGTCGTCGATGTTCTGGACCCTCGGCTTGGCCGCGCCCCACGCACTCCTGGTCGTCGGTGCTGCACCCTCCTTGGGCTTCTGTCGTGCTGGCGCCTGAGGTCTGACGGCCTTGGTCACCAACACTCCGCTCTTGAATGAAAAGCTCGTCGCCACCACACCCTGCGGCGGCTCAGCAAAGAACAACCAGGCCCTCGGCCCAGCCCTTGTTGGCTCCTGCACCCGCAAGAACCCTCTCTCCGTGGCCCAGTCCGCCACCATCTGTGGCGTCGTCCAGGTTGGAAGAGCATGCTTGACATAGTACTTGGTGAGCTCGAGCATGCCTGGCGCGTTGACCTGCGTCGTCGCACCAAGCTTGGCCCGCCCGTACGGGCGGTGCACCAGCAGGTTACGCTTCTCCTTCAGCAGCCCACACACTCTTTTGAGATAATCCTTCGGCGACTCCTCCTGATTCTGGGTAAACCACTTGGGAGTCGTCGTCGAGGCCTGCTTCATAATAAAACAACCCAGCGGCGGTAAGATCTCGGTCATCTTCACCTCGAAGCTCTTCGGGACCGTGACCACACATGTCGTCTCGGCCTCATATGCAATAGCACCCCGCGTACGTACAATCTGAGCCGCTGCTACCTCACCCAGCACCACCGTCGGCATCGCCTGGGGCTGGTTGTAGATCTGGTGGTAGAGCGTCTCATCCGTCATCTCCTGCACCACAGTGATGCGAAAGCTGACAAGGGACAGCTTCTCGTGCTGGACCACCTCGTCGTCCTTGATGGCCGCGTCCAAGCCCGCCCTACGAGGGGCGAGCTCTCCGTGGTATACGATGCGAGCCTTCATCTTCTTCGGGCCTTTCGGCCCGTGGAGGAGTACATGATCTTCACCTGATGCGTCAAGGACCACATGCGTGATGTCCGTCCTGTTGCCATATGCACGTCTCACCTGCTCTGCCGCCGTGTACTCCGCCTCCGTGGAGGAGAAGATGATCAGCGGGTCGGTGATCGTCTCGAGCTTGGAGCGGGCCTGGCCCGCGGCTACCAGGGCCGCAGTCCCCCAGTGTTCCGCAACCATTCGCTCCGTAGCAGTAGCAGTAGTCGTCATCGTCTCCTCCAGAGGGCTGTCAGGTTTGGCAGCACTGAAGGACGCGATGAGCTCCTTAAGCTTGTTGCAGACCACCGCCGTCGTGATGGCCTGCCTCTGGGCGCCCGTGGCCTCGTCGACATAGCCGATGAGGCTCCGCAGCCGCTCCACGATCTGGATGTCCGTGAACTTCACCTTCTTCTTTTTGGGCTTAGCCTTGGGCGCGACAGGCGAGGTCGCCTGCCACGCCGCTGCAGGAGACTCCTGCGGCAGCCCGATATGTTGCTGGATCGCGCTCACGGCCTTCACAAGACCCTGAAGAACCGTGGCTTGATCAGCTCGGCGTGTCGTCCTCTTGGCACCACCTTTGCCACCTCCTCCGAGAAGGGGGTCAGCTAGCAGCTCGCACTCTGCAGTCGTAGGGCCCCCGCCTGTGGTATTCGCACAGGTCGCCACCCAGCTCGTAGTATGTCCTCTTTCGTCATACTCGTCCCCCACAGTGAGCCTTGGGGATAAGCACTCTCCGTCCCGAAAATCACAAAACTGAACATGATGGAGTACATGATCACACTGATCAACTGCATGGTGTACATGATCTCGACGATCAAGCTCTTGGCAATCTTCAGTATCCGCCCAGACCCCAGGGTAGTACTTCGCATCACCAGGCTCCCAAGCAAGGTACACAGGTACCTCATTCCCACAAAAAATTGTGACCACGTCACCGCCCACGCAGCAAGCGGTCGGAGACGCACGGGTCGCCCGCCATCTCCACCGCCTTCGCCACGGCGCCCTCCCGAAGAAGAACACCGTGCCCGCCAACGCCATGACCATGCCGAAGCTGTCTGGGGGCTGCTGCTCGTTGGCCCGCCGAAAGCCCCCCAAGAGACCGTCACGAGAGCTCAGGAGGCCCCCTGGAGGCCTCCCGAGTTCTCCAAGAGGCCTAATTATCCCGGCAAAGCAACCTAACATCGATGTGTAGGAGCATATCTGGAAGCATTCCCCTTAAGATTCGGATGAGAATCCAGTTGTAGAATTCTGCTGTTCTCGCAGTCGTAGTCGCATTCGCGATGACAGTCGCAGTGGCAACGGCAGTCGCAGTCACAGCCTCAGCCTCAGCCTGCCTCAGCCTCAGCCTCAGCCTGCCTCAGCCTCAGCCTGCCTCAGCCTCAGCCTCAGCCTGCTTCAGCCTCAGCCTCAGTCTGCCTTCAGCCTCGGCCTCAGCCTCAGCCTGCCTCAGCCTCAGCCTGCATCAGCCTCAGCCTCAGCCTCAGCCTGCCTCAGCATCAGCCTGCCTCAGCCTCAGCCTCAGCCTGCCTCAGCCTCAGCCTCAGCCTGCTTCAGCCTCAGCCTCAGTCTGCCTTCAGCCTCGGCCTCAGCCTCAGCCTGCCTCAGCCTCAGCCTCAGCCTTCAGCCTCAGCCTGCCTCAGCCTCAGCCTGCCTCAGCCTCAGCCTCAGCCTGCCTCAGCCTCAGCCTCAGCCTCAGCCTTCAGCCTCAGCCTCAGTCTGCCTTCAGCCTCGGCCTCAGCCTCAGCCTGCCTCAGCCTCAGCCTGCATCAGCCTCAGCCTCAGCCTCAGCCTGCCTCAGCATCAGCCTGCCTCAGCCTCAGCCTCAGCCTGCCTCAGCCTCAGCCTCAGCCTGCTTCAGCCTCAGCCTCAGTCTGCCTTCAGCCTCGGCCTCAGCCTCAGCCTGCCTCAGCCTCAGCCTGCATCAGCCTCAGCCTCAGCCTCAGCCTGCCTCAGCATCAGCCTGCCTCAGCCTCAGCCTCAGCCTGCCTCAGCCTCAGCCTCAGCCTGCTTCAGCCTCAGCCTCAGTCTGCCTTCAGCCTCGGCCTCAGCCTCAGCCTGCCTCAGCCTCAGCCTGCATCAGCCTCAGCCTCAGCCTCAGCCTGCCTCAGCATCAGCCTGCCTCAGCCTCAGCCTCAGCCTGCCTCAGCCTCAGCCTCAGCCTGCTTCAGCCTCAGCCTCAGTCTGCCTTCAGCCTCGGCCTCAGCCTCAGCCTGCCTCAGCCTCAGCCTGCATCAGCCTCAGCCTCAGCCTCAGCCTGCCTCAGCATCAGCCTGCCTCAGCCTCAGCCTCAGCCTGCCTCAGCCTCAGCCTGCTTCAGCCTCAGCCTCAGCCTCAGTCTGCCTTCAGCCTCGGCCTCAGCCTCAGCCTGCCTCAGCCTCAGCCTGCATCAGCCTCAGCCTCAGCCTCAGCCTGCCTGCCTCAGCATCAGCCTGCCTCAGCCTCAGCCTCAGCCTGCCTCAGCCTCAGCCTCAGCCTGCTTCAGCCTCAGCCTCAGTCTGCCTTCAGCCTCGGCCTCAGCCTCAGCCTGCCTCAGCCTCAGCCTGCATCAGCCTCAGCCTCAGCCTCAGCCTGCCTCAGCCTCAGCCTGCCTCAGCCTGCCTCAGCCTCAGCCTCAGCCTCAGCCTCAGCCTTCAGCCAAAGCCTCAGTCTGCCTTGAGCCTTGGCCTCAGCCTCAGCCTCAGCCTGCCTCAGCCTCAGCCTGCATCAGCCTCAGCCTCAGCCTCAGCCTGCCTCAGCATCAGCCTGCCAGCCTCAGCCTCAGCCTGCCTCAGCCTCAGCCTCAGCCTGCTTCAGCCTCAGCCTCAGTCTGCCTTCAGCCTCGGCCTCAGCCTCAGCCTGCCTCAGCCTCAGCCTGCCTCAGCCTCAGCATCAGCCTGCCTCAGCATTCAAAATGTGGCCCGGGAATGGAGTTCTGGGAACTCGAAGAACACGAAGTGGCCTACAGTTGGCTCCGGGCATTCAAAATCATGCCCAGGAATGGAGTTCTGGGAACTCGAAGACACGAAGTGGCCTACAGTTGGCTCCGGGCATTCAAAATGTGGCCCGGGAATGGAGTTCTGGGAACTCGAAGAGCACGAAGTGGCCTACAGTTGGCTCCGGGCATCCAAAATGTGGCCCGGGAATGGAGTTCTGGGAAAATGGAAGAGGAGTTCACTCGAAGTGGCCTACAGTTGGCTCCGGGCATTCAAAATGTGGCCCGGGAATGGAGTTCTGGGAACTCGAAGAGCACGAAGTGGCCTACAGTTGGCTCCGGGCATCCAAAATGTGGCCCGGGAATGGAGTTCTGGGAACTCGAAGAGCACGAAGTGTGTGACTGTTGCATCCGGCCCTCCAGAATGTGGCCCGGGAATGGAGTTCTGGGAACTCGAAGAGCACGAAGTGTGTGACTGTTGCATCCGGCCCTCCAGAATGTGGCCCGGGAATGGCGTTCTGGGATCTCGAAGAGCACGAAGTGTGTGACTGTTGCATCCGGTTATTCAGAATGAGCCTGGGAATGGAGTTCTGGGAAGTCGAAGAGCACGAAGTGTGTGACTGTTGGTGAAAAACGAGTTCGGCACAGGCCCGCCCGGCAACTCCCAACACCTGCCCGGACCCCCCTGTGGAGTGATCTGTGACCTCTTTTGACACTACTAGAAACCTATCAGTCTTCGATGTTAGGTAAAAAGAAGCGCCAAGAGGCCCCAAACGGCCCCACCGAGGCTCCAAGAGGCCACGAACGCGCAAGCAAACGCCTGCGATGGCACAATACGGGCCGGCGGAATGAGCGAAGCGAGTAAATAATACTGAATGTCCGGTTTGGATGCTGATCTCTTCACGCATTCCTCAGCTTTTCTTGACGGCGTCCACAAAGATGCATACGCCAAACTGCTATCTGCGATTTTGGATTGCCAGTACGTGTCATGCCCTACAGCGCCAGACAAGGTCTGGAAAGTCACCGCCGGCGCTGGCATGGGACTTCCTTGTAGCGAGGAGGTTGCTGACGCAGCGTACTACCATCACATTGGGCACGACAGCGTGTCTCAAGATAGTTCCCGCGATTTGCACGGCATTCTAGCTTATATTAGGCATCGCGACGACATTTTGCTAGTGCAGTCGGGCTCCAGAGCACAGCTGGATGCCCTCATTCGCAGGCTACCAGAGCTGTCTACGGTGTTCAGGGGTAGAAGTTGAGAGCATCGCCTCCGATGATCCTCCTCCTCCTCCTCCTCCTCCTCCTCCTCCTCCTCCTCCGGTTCAGATGCTCGACGTCGTGTTCTGTCGTGGGCCCTGCTGGCGCCTCACGGGCATCACGGACCATCGCGTCTCTGCGGATCCCCCTTCGGCGATCGCGGCATGCATCCCGCAGGCGTGCACCGGGCCTGGGCGCCCGCTCACGCGCTCCGCGTACGACGGCTGTGTTCGGAGAGGCAGCCCGCCGACAACGATACTAAGAAGTGTTGCAGCATACACGGAGGCTTCTCCTCCATCGGCGTCGCATGGAGTTTAGGCGACAAGCATCTTGTCCATATTGTCAAGTCGTTTAACAGCTCTCTCGAACATGGGGGCTGCGGCTTGCGCATTACATGCGCTGCGACTCGATAGTGGCTGGTTGGTTGGGGTTGGTTGGTGGATACATTGTCTTGGACTGCCTTCTCGGCATCAGCGCCACAGCGTCGACGGGAGGCAAATCATCTCTATATAATCATGTTTTTGCTCGAACTCGCTGAGCAAGCAAGGATACAGCCAAGGTAGCAGAGTCTTGGCCGAGCATTAAATCATCGTCGCCAGAGCGTGTGTGTTGCCCATTCCCTCCCCCTCCTCCTCCTCCTCCTCCTCCTCCTCGCTCTCTCCCTTCCTTTCCTTCTCGCTGCAGGGGCGCCACGGCGAGAGCTTCCCAGCCCCGCTGCCTCCCCAGGCGACTCCTCAGGGGTCAACCTCCTCCTCCTCGCTCTCTCCCTCCCTTTCCTTATCCTCCTCTCCTCCCTGCCTCCCGCCCTCCTGCGCGGAAGGGGCCCCGCCTCCGGGGCCTCGCCGCCGTCGGCGGCGGGTGGGGGGCCAGCGACGTCTGGGGACGAGGCAGCGGGGGGGGGGGGCAGGAGAGGGCGAGGAGGAGGAGGAGGAGGAGGAGGAGGAGGAGGTCACAGACGCCGGCTCTGGCAACGTGATCTTAATTCCCACCAGCCCTTTAGGGCGTGAGTGGTTTAGCGGGCTTCCTCTTCACTGCCCCTTATTGATAGCACCCCTTCCCCCGGGCGACTGACGGCCAACCGCGCCCACACCGGCAAACCCCTCACGAGGATCATGGCCGCACAGAGAGCCTCCGTCGCAGGCCCCAGCGGCTGCGTTCGCATGGTTGCACCGAGCCGGTTTCGGCACGCACCCCACACGCTTCCGGGCCCCATCGGGAGCCCCACCGAAGACCCCAGCGGCCGCGCTCGCATGGCGGCGCCGCGCCCATTTCAGCACACCCTTCACGAGGACCGTGGTCCCACAGGGAGCACCATATAGCTTACACAGCATGTATTCCACCACGTATTGCACAACACAGCTTGCACCACATACCCTATACCACATATGTTGCACCGCATTGCTGACACCATATTGCTTGCACCACGTAGCTTGCAGCACATAGCTTGCACCACATATAGTACACCGCATAACGTACACGTCAGAGCTTTCACCACATAAGATGTTGTACCACAAATCTTGCACCACATAGCTTACGAATCCACAGTGCCAGCACTTACTGTTTAGAGTCCACGCTGGACAGCAGTGGGACACAGGTGGGGGCCTCCTTGGTGAACTTTCTTGGGGTTATCGCGGGGCTTCTCCATCTCTCATGGGACTGCCTTTTGGCATCCTTCTGCTTGCAAAGCGCAATTCGGTGTTCCGTGGGGCCTGGCGTGTTCGAAGGTGCACGGACGGTCTGGGGAGATGCTCAAGCAACTTTAATGCTGTCTAGGGGCTGTCGTGGAGGTGCGTGAGGGTGTGTGGGCCATCTCGTGGTGACGTAGATGGTTGGTTCGAGCGTCCAAGAGTGATGGGGGGACCTTAGGCTCAGATAGCTGGAAGACTTCTGCCAACCAAACGAGACTTGAAGATTTGTGCCGTCTGGGTGCCATGGGCAGAGCCAAGTTTAGAGCCAGTTGCGGCCTCGCGAGGCCATCGCGCAGCGCATCAAGGATGAATCGAGCCACTCGCGAGGACTAGTCGAACCACTCGCGGGCCGTGCACGGATTCGAGGCCTCTTCTCAGGGCCACCAGGGAACCCATTAAGGCTTGTTTGAGTGCCTAGGTGTGTTGGGGGAGGGTCTTTGGCTGTGTCGCGGTGCCACTTGTGCGTTCATGGGGGGCATCCCGGGGCTCTCCTGGACCACCTTGGGGCCCTTTTGGGCGGTCTTGGAGTCCTCCTGGGCTGTCGGGAGCCCCGCACGGCTGCGTTGGGAGCATTTCGGGTCCAAATTTGGTCCCTCTTGGGGCCCTCTCTTGGGGCCCCTCTTGGGCTGTCCCTCGGCCTGTCTTGAGCCCGTCTTGAGGGTCTCTTGGGGCCCCTTTAGCCCTGCTTGGGGCGATCTTGGGGGTCCCTCGGGCTGTCTTGGGCGTTCTGCAGCCCGATGCAGCGAGCAGCCAATGTCTGTTTTGAGCATTCTATCCGTTTTCAAGCCTTGCGGAAGTTACGCTGGAGTTCTGTTGGACCGTCTTGGGACAATATTGGTCAGTCCTGATGTCCATCGTGGCGTGGACCATCCTGTCTGTCTTCGAAGCAACTGTGGGACTTCTTGGGAGCCAGCTTGAGGCGATGTGAGCTCTCTTGCGGCCTTCCAGAACAGAGCGGAGTCAATTCCGGGCTCTTTTTGGATTTGTCTGGGGCCGTCTTGTGGGGCCCCGGGCCCCGGGGTAGGGGTGTCGGCGCGATGGGGGGCGTGTCAGCATGATGCCAACTCTGATTCGAGGTCCAGATCTGATTCTATAGGGTGTCAGAAACAGCGTAGACATACTACATATATGTATATATCTGTGTAGCTATCACACATGTACGTTCGTGCTTGCCAGCGAAGACCCCAAACGGTAAGTTTGAGCACTCTGGATGAGGAGGCTATGTGGTGCAAGCTGCGAGGTGCAAGCTATATGGTGCCACTATGTGGGGTACGCTATGCGGTGCAAGCTATATGGTGCAAGCTCGATGGTGCAGGCTACGAGGTGCAAGCTATGCGGTGCGAGCTATGTGGTGCAACTCATTTCTGTTCGCAGTGAGTTGTCCACTCCACTGCTCGCGCAAACATCCACCCACCCACCCGCAACCTGGCTTGCAAAATCTCTTAAGACCGTGACGGTGGGTCCCAATTTTGCACTTGGCAACGACAGCGACGCCGACGACGACAGCGACAACGACGGCGACAACGCCGCCGACAACCACTACGACGACACCAACGACGTCTCCAACGACTTCGACGACGCCGACAACGATGACGACGACGACGACACCGACGACGACGACGCCGCCGCCGACGACGACGACGATAACGACGACGACGATGACAACGACGACGACAACGACGACACCGACGACGACGACGTCAACGACGCCGACGACGACGACGACGGCGGCGACAACGACGACACCGACGACGACGACGACGACGGCGATGCCGACGCCGACGCCGACGACGACGAAGACGACGACGTCGCCAACGACGACGACGACGACGAGGGAGGAGGGAGGACGACGACGGCGACAAAGACGACAACGACGACAACGACGAGGGAGGAGGGAGCACGGCGACGACGCAAACGACGAAGAAGGAGGAAGGACGGCGACGCCGACGACGACAACGACGAGGGAGGAGGTAAGACGACGACGACAACGACGGCGACGACGACGACGGCGACGAAATAGGAGGGACGACGACGAGACGCCGATGACGGACGACGACGACGAGGGAGGAGGAGGAAGGACGACCACGGCGACAACGACGACGGAAACGACCACGACACCAAAGGGGACGACGACGACGAACACGAGGAAAGACAGAGGACGACGTAGGCGACGACGACGACGACGACGCGGGAGGAGGGAGGACGACGACGACGACGCAAGAGCGCGCGCGCACGCTTTTGTTGAAAATCCGTGTTGCGAAACCTTGGGTTTTTTGTATGCTTTTTGGACACATGATTTTGAAATCCTTTCGAAACCGATGGGTTTTGAAGGTTTTCGGCCTACGCGCGCGACGACGCGCGCGTCTGCACTTCGTCCCGTCTTTTGCAGAGGATTCTCGCGACGGCACACGCGCAAGGGCGTTCGACAGATTTCGACATGCGCGCGCCAAGCCCGTTGAATAGCATTTTGTGAAAATCTTGAACAACCTATGGTTTTCTTGAGATTTCGCAAGAGCTCGCGCGGAAGTTTTTTTAGCAAATCAGTGTTGCGAAACCCTGTGTGTTTGTATGTGTTTTGGAAACTCGATTGCGAAATCCTTCCGGCACCGAGGGTTGTTGAAGGATTTCGGCATGCGCGCGCGACGACGCGCGCGTGCACTTCGTCCCATTTTTGGCAAGGGATTCGTGAACAAGTGCTATGTTAGAACAAAAAATGTCATCGCATAGTTTTTGTACAAAGGAACCTCAGGAGGGGGATACCGGCCCCCCTGGGACAGTGTAAATTCATATATAGGATGGACATGTGGTCATAATCGTATATGATTTACATACCCGAAAAGGGGTACCGATAACGCCAGGGGGGGGTAGATCCTATTTTGTTTTTAGAATGGAGAATCCATAAGAGGGGCGAAACCCGTGGAACCCAACCAGCGCACGCGGTGGTCACAGGCGGCCACCCGGCGAACACCCGAAGCCCAGGCCAGCGCATACATAGGGCGGTCACGAGGCGGGAACCCGCGGCCACCATGCGAAATCATGTAAACTCTTGCCAAAGCTGGGGGCGCCCACGAGGTTGGGCGCGAATTGAAGGGGGAGGCGATAAGTGGGCGGGGAAGAGAGGTTCACTTTTCGGGCCCTGAAGGCCTTCTTCTGGGCGAAAACCTCTTTTCGGCAGCCCCCGCTGGGTTTGGGAGGATGAAGGGTATGAGCGATAACACTCGGATGCAATGCACGATACCTTCGACCGCCCACGGGTGATGACATCCTCATTGCCTTGTGTGCACTTTGCGCGTCCCCTGCCCACACCCGCCGGGGGAGAGCAATGGGCATGGCGCGGGGGCTCCCGGGCCACTTGCAGATTGGGTGCTCGCGCTGTCAATGCTCTGCTCTCCTACGGTACGGCTTTGCAACGACGTCCGCACCTTGCTCCCGCGTGTCCGAGCTCCGTAGCTGCCTGCACGCCCTCCTGTGCTCAGCTGCGCTCTTGCCCTTTTAAACACTGCGCAGGCCTGAGGAAAGCTTGAGAGGTCCCCTTCCAATGTGTGACGGATCCTCCCAGCCCGATCGCTGCCTTCCTGAATCGTTCCGCAGGGACCGACCGTCCCGGCATTCCTATAGGCCTACCACGACATGTTCTTAGAACCCAGCAATGTTGTAATAACAAAAGCAACGTTCTTAAAGCATGATCCCGATGGGTTACAACAAGACAGTCCCAATCAGACATGTTCTAAGAGCATTTCGCTGAGACCACGCAAGGTTCTTAGAACATTCTTTCGTAGGCCTACGCCTCGCCTCACCACTGCTCGAAACTGCGCGCCCTCCAACGAGGCGGCCACGGGCGGCGACCCGGTGCAAACCGAGAGGGGCCCATGCAAACGCGCACGAGGCGCCCGCGGGGCGCCCACGGGCGGCGTGCCTGAGCGCCCGGAAAGCGGCAGCCCACGACGCGGAGCAGAACGGGGACGCCCTGCGGGGAAGCCCTGCCGTGGGAACGTGTGCAGATTGAGGTCGGCTCGGCTGTGGGAGGCCGACTGGCGGGCGTCGCTTCGGGCGCGGCTCGCCGCGCGCCCCGGCGCGCCCGAGGCGCCTGGCTAATTGGCCGCACTCGCGGCGCCGCCGCTGGCGCAAGTGCGGGCCGCGCGCCCGCCACATCCCCTCCTCCTCCTCCCTCCCCCTCCTCCGTCACTGGACTTTCTCCGCGCTGGTAAAACAAGTGCAGATTTAGGTCGGGCATGTCCCCCTACGGGCGGATTGTGGACGAAAGGTACAAGATACCCAGACCATGTTCAAACATGGTCAAAAATGGGCGAACAAAAACCGTCCCCGCCCGAATTTTTGGACTATGTTTGAATATTCTTCGTGTAGAGGGACACGCCCGATTTAAGTGTATGGTCGTAAACTTACACCATACATTTCTGCATGCGCATCTGTATATATGCGTAGGTGTGTGTGTGTGTGTGTGAGTGTGTGTGTGTGTGGGTGTGTGTGGGTGGGTGTGTGTGTGTGTGTGCGTGCGTGCGTGCGTGCGCGGCCGCCCATTCCCCCTTGGTTCCCCCTCTTGCACGCTGGCCAGTTCGCTTGTCGGTCGTCCCGAATCGCCACCCGCTGGAGCAGCTTCTCTGCCTCGCCGCCGACGACAATGTGTGTGTGTGTGTGTCTGTCTGTCTGTGTCTGTGTGTGCTTCGGGCCCGGCTTCCTCTCCCTCCAGCCCGCGCTGGGCCTCCTCTCTCCTCCCGCGTGCCCTGCGGCTTAATTCGCGTTTTGTGTGCCCCGCTGATGCCACACCGCGGGAGCAGTCCCTCTGCCCAGCCGCCGACGCATAAAGTGTGTGTGTGTGTGTGTGTGCATGTGTGGGTGTGGGCAAACGTGCAGCCGGTTCTTCGCCGCATCCGCCTGCCCGGTCCGCCTCTCACCTGGGACTGCTGGTCTGGTGCGCGTTGTCTTGAATCGGATTTCTTGGATTCAATCGCTGTTGCGGCCCGTGACACTTGACCCGTGGGTCCTTTTCCACTCCGGCGTTTGAGGAAACGTCGTGCAACCATGCATCTGTAACCGTGTATGCTCGGCCACATGGGTGTAAACACGTGTGCGTGTACACACGTATGTCTTAACGCATCCAGATGCATATGCGCATAACGGCAGCGGCGGCGGGCCACTCGAGACATCCCAGAGCTGTTTCCCAGACTGGGTCTACTTGATGGCCCCGCTGGCGTTCTAAGCGCCCAGGAAAGGGCAACGAGTGGAGGGCCAAGGAGTGAAACGAGACGCGAGTAGGTGGCGGACGCTGTCGGAGGGCTCAGAGTAGAAAGGGGGTGGCCGGGCACACTGGGAAAGCTTTGGGCTGCGCTCTCCAAAGGTAGTTTTGGCTGGCTTCAGCAGGCGCCCGAGATGGTCCTGGGCGGCCCCGACACCCCAGACACGCCTCTGGTGACGCCCCCTGGGCGTTAGACCGCCTCGGACTCCCAGAACAAGGGCTGTCCATGCGCAAACCCCACGCTCGGAGGAGTAGAAGAAGAAAACAACTGCATACACATAACCGTTTGGCGCTCCGCGCGGATTTCTTGGATCTGTGCTGGACCCCCTTCCCTGGCGCGCGGAGGCGTCGCCACGGGGGCCCAACGCAGATCCAAGAAGTCCGCGCGGAACGTCGAACGTGGATGTTTATGCCGTTTCTGCTCCTTCGATCCATGGGCTGTCCATGTGCAAACCCCACGCTTGGAGGAGGGCGAGGCGAAACAGCGGCAGCTCAAAAATCGGCCCTTCAAGCGCACCAGTTTCCCGAGCCGCGCCCAGCCGTGGCGGCGAGGGGCAACCCCCGAAGGGCAAACTGCAGCTGTCTCAGCTGGCCCTCCCCTCCTCCTCCTCCTCCTCCTCCTCCTCCTCCTCCTCCTCCTCCTCCTCCTCCTCCTCCTCTCCTCCTCCTCCTCGTCCTCCTCCTCCTCCTCCTCCTCCCCTCCTCCTCCCTACTCCCCCTTCTCCTCTTCCTCTTCCTCCTCCTCCTCCTCTCCTCCTCCTGCTCTTTCTCCTCCTCCCTCTCCTCCTCTCCTCCTCCCTCCTCCTCTCCTCCTCCTCCTCTTCCCGTCCTCCTCCTCCTCATCCTCCTCCTCCTCCCTCCTCCTCCTCCTCTCCTCCTGCTCCTCCTCTCCTCCCTCCTCCTCCTCCTCCTCCTCCTCCTCCTCCTCCTCCTCCTCCTCCTCCTCTTCCCTCCCCATGACATCATCGCCTTCTCCACCTCCTCCTCCCACCGCTGCCCAGGGAGGACCGATCAAGGCTGATCCAAGCCTTGCCGTGGGCTTGGTCGATCGCGCTTCTACAGCAAGGGGAACCTGCATGCATAGAAACTACGTGTGGACTTCCTGGATCGGCGCCGGGAGCCCTCTTCCTGGCGCGCGAAACGCGCCAGGGGCGGCTCCGGAGGCGCCGCCAGGGGGGCTCCAAGGCCGTCTGAGAAATCCGCGCGGAGCTCTGACTGGTTACGTTTATCTCGCGCAAGTCTGAACATGTTCTTCGAACATTCTTTGGTGGGCCTACAGTCGGGCTGCTGCAAGACGGAACGCTAAAGAAGGAACTACGCCCCTTTTGGTCACCAACAGAGCCTGGGTCCACGAGGGGGGCCAGAGGAACGACCACGGAAGGACCTCAGGAAAACAGCGAGCCCCTTCCGAACCCGAGACGGCCCTTTCTTCAGCGCCTTGGCTGCATGGGCAGGTCGGGACGCTTCGCCGCAGCTTGGTTGGCCGATCGCGCTTCGTCGACCCCCTGCAGCGCCCGTCTCTGGCGGCTGCCCCTCCGGCGCCACGGCGGGCACCCGCAGGGGCGGCGGCACGCCCCCCAGCCGGGCCCGCTTCGCGTCGGGGCCCTCCTGCACGGCTGGCCGCGAGGCCGCGACGAGGACGCCGACACCGACGCCGACGCCGACGACGCCGACGACGATGCCGACGGCGTCGGAGACTGCACAGACGCCGCCCGCCGCCGACGACGGCGGCGGCGCGGAGGACCCATCGTTCGACGGGGTAGCCAGCTTCTAGCTCATAACTCTCCCCCAGGTTGACAAGTCCCAAAGCAAGGCCAATATTGGGGGCACGCCCTCTGAAACTGGTGGGGCCCTTGAGATGGGCACCGATGTGAGGTGACGCCAGTGGTGGGAATAAGGAAACGGTCGGGAAACGTCATGGGGATAGGGAAGACGTCATGGGCCATCCGCCGTGAGATGAGTTGACGCCGCCCGCCCACCGCTGCCCACGAGTGCCTGGCCAATTCGTTTCCATCCCCCGTCTCATTGCAGGGATGCTCGGAGCGTGGGTGGGTGGCTTCCTGCGCCTCTCCTCGGAGGACCCGGTGCGAATCAGGGCACACTGACAGCGATAGCAGAAACGACTGTGAGGTGTTCTCGTGGCGCCTGCCTGTAACTTTAGGTCGGGCATGTCCTCCTACGGGGAGGACCAGTTATGCATAGTCATTTTTTTTTTTTTTTTTTTTTGAAAATAATCAAAAATTGATCAACAGATTGTCCCCGTACTTGTTTGGAGCATGTTTGAATCCGCCGACCCTGTCGGCATGTGTGAAGGGCTTCTCCGTTTGACTCGTCGTCTCCGTCGTCTCCGTTCTCCCCCTCCCAGGGCTCTCCTCCTCAAGCGCGTTATCCAAAGCGAAATTAAACGACGTCGTAGTGGAGTCGAAGGGGAGCTCCTTCCTTTTGATCCCTTCCCCGCAGCGGGGGGGGGGCGAGAGGGGGGGGGTGCGGGGCAGATACTCCGAGCGACCGAGTGCGAGACGGGGCCAGGGAGAGTCAGAGAGATTTAGAAATACATGAAAAGAGAGGAAGCGAGAGAGAGAGAGAGAGAGAGGGCGAGAAAGAGAGAGAGAGAAAAAAAAAAAAAAAAAAAAAAAAAAAAAAAAAAAAAAAAAAAAAAAAAAAAAAAAAAAAAAAAAATGAAGAGAGAGAGAGAGAGAGAGAGAGAGGGAGAGAAAGAAAAAGAGAAAAGAGAGAAGAGAGAGAGAGAGAGATGAGAGAGAGAGAGGAGAGAGGAGAGAGAAGAGAAAAGAGAGAGAAAGAGAGAAGAGAGAGAGAGAGAGAGAGAGAGAGAGAGAGAGAACCCAAAAAAAAAAAAAAAAAACTTCCGCACAAGATAAAAGGGGCACGCGGCAAGCGAAAGCAGACGTGGGAACGCGGGGGAGAGATCAACCAAGACATAAGCATCACCCGCCCGCGCGGACGTCAGCCGCCGCGCATGCGCCCCGAGGGCCGCGTAGAGACCAGATCGCCACCTCGTCTACGCGGGCGGCCCTGCGAATGCAGCGCGCGCGTTGTCTCGCCATATCATGCTGAGCTTTGTCAATGCAGAATGGTAGTGCCAGGCAGGGGGAGATTCACGCGACTGCGTGTCCATGCGCCAATGAGCTCCAGGCAGTCGTTCTGAAGCAGGGTAGCGCAGTGTTGCCAGCAACTGCGGTCCAACATCGTGACGCGCGGAACGGGCTCCACCTCTGCCCTGGTATACTTCTTGACCCCGCCCCCCCCCCCCCCCCCCCCCCCCCACCACCACCCCGCCCCACCCCGCCCCACCCCCCCCCCCCGCCCCACCCCGCCCCGCCACCGCCGCCACCGCCCCACCCTGCTAGCCCGCCGGCCCATGCCGCGAGAGCATGCAGAGGTGTAGCGACGGCAGCGACGCGCATGACCACATCTGACAACATGACGCGTGACAGCAAGAAAAGAAGGTAGGGTGTGAAACAATTTGACAAGGCTGGCACCCGATGGGGCCCGAGAGCCCGAGAGGGGCAGAGGGGCCCAGGAATCCAGGAAGCATGCCTTGGCGCCGTAGCTCGATCTGCCCGGCAACACGATGGGCCAGTCGACAGGGGAAGCCGACTGACCGACGGAACGAAATAATTCCAATGGGTTCGATAGATCGAGAGCCTCTCGGCCTCTCAACCCCTCGGCCACGACCTCTCGACCCGAGATGGGGGCGGAAGTGAGGGGGGATAATAGTGGGACAAGCGAGTGCTCACTGTCTCAAGGCGTCCTCGCCCTCGTCCTCGCCCTCCGCCAAGTCGCCCATCCGGGCGGGCGGGCTGCCCTTCCATCCATGCCTGGAGCGCATAATTTAAACGGGCTGGAGACAAGGGGGGGGGAGGCCCGATCAAGAGGTGAGGGGGGAGTGGAGAGGAGGGGGAGGGGAGAACCCGCACATTTAATCAATAACATCAATGAACACATGCACATTATGAAAACCTTCTACTCGACACGGCCCCCTCTACTCGACCCGGCCCCCGCTACGCGACACGATCCCGCTACTCGACCTGAGTACCTGAATAGAAGGGGGTGCGGTGGGGGGGGGCAGGGGGGGGGAGGGTGATCAATGCATACTCCTCTCAGACGCCAGAACGGCGAGTCCGCCGCCCCTCGGGCGTTGTCGGTCAGCCGCGCACCTGGTGGGGGATGAGAGACACACATGGGATTCCTGGGATCGGAGCAGGCCTGCCCGCACACGCCCGCGCAACACACGAGACAGCAAAATATCGAGGCACGTCTCACGCGCAGGCCGGCACCTAATTCCCGACGCCTCCTTCAGAATTCTTGAAAGAACGACAAATTCGCCGGCCCAACGGGCCAGGGCGTGCTAAGATCTCCGGTAACTGGTTACCAGTATTAACAGTATTTCTACTTCGCGCGCGCGGGGCGGCCCCTGGGGGCCCCCCGGCGAAAAGTGCCCCGACCAACGCCCGGTCGCCGCCCGACCGCCGCCCGACCAAGTCTACTCAGAGATGGTTTTCCTTCTGGGTGCGGCCTCTCAGGCTCCCCAGAGCGCGCTCAGAGTGCCCCAAGAGGCCCCCAAGACTGCCCAAGAGGCCCCCGAGACGCCCAAAGAGCGCTCGAAGACGCCGAAGATGACCCCAAGACGGCCCAAAAGGCCCCCAAGACAGCCCAAGAGGCCTCCAAGACGCCCCAAGAGCCTTCCAAGAGGCCTCCGAAGAGAGCCCCAAGGCCAAAACCGTTGATTTTCATTGGTGTTTTCGATGTTTGTTTTGTGTTCTGGCTTTTTCGGCTTCCGGACGCTCCAAGACGGCCCAAGAGGCCCCCAAGACCGCTCCAAGACGGCCCACGAAGCTCCCAAGACGGCGCCGAAACGACCCAAGAGAGCCCTCAAGACGGCCCAAGTGCCGCCCAAGACGGACCAAGAGGCCCCAAGACGGGCCCAAGAGGGACTCAGGAGGGATACCGAGAACTCAAAAATGGAGCCCTCCGTCCCAGAAGGCGCCCAGGAGGTCCCAAAGAGGCCCCAAGAGGCCTCCAAGAGGCCCCAAGATGTCGCCAAGAGGCCCCAGGAGACTCCCAGGAGGCCCATAAGAAGCCCCAGAAGGCTTCAAACATGTCTCCCAGGCGCCCCCGAACGGCCTCTCAACAGACCCCAAGAGGCCCCCCAAAGAAGCATCTTGACGACGACTCTATTTCGCCCCATCGAGAGACGACCTCCAGGGAACTGCTTCACCATCAAAACTCCCCACGCAACGCGTCCGAACGACACCCGCCCCCAAGAGCGCAACATGGGCAACGAACACACAGACAAAAACCAGCGATGCCATATCACGGGCCGGCGGAATGAGCGAAGCGATTCAATAAAAGAGCTCTCTCCAGGAAGTCTCAAACAATGCTGAATTACCCGCAACGATGGATGGGGGGAAGGGCGAGGGAGAGGGATAGACGAAACAAAACTCCCCTGCAAAGTGTAGTCAAAAGATCCCATCGCGTGGTTGCGCCGCCGGGGGTGCCATGACGCCCCCTTATACCGGCGCGGCTGAAGGGCCCGCTCGCGGGCCCCGGGGGCGGCTCAGGCCCCGGGGGCTGCCGGCGCCAGAGGGCCGGCCCCGCCCGCCACCTCCGCCACGTAGGGCGCGGGCACCGCCGGTGGCGGCCTCGAGGGCCCCGCCGAAGCGGCCGCCCCAGAAGGAGCAGCCGCTCCCGGTGCAGCTGGCACCGCTGTGGCCTGCGGGGCCGGCGCCGGTGGCTCCGCTTTGGCCTGCGGTGCCGGGGGCGGCGCAGGCGGCGCGCCGTTCCCGTCCGCGCCGCCGCCCCTGCCGCCCTTGCGGCCGCCCTTGCCTCCCTTGCGGCCGCCCTTGCCGCCGCCCTTGCCGCCGCTCTTGTCCCCCTTGCTGCCCGAGCCCTTGCCGCCCCCCTTGCCGCCCTTGTCGCGGCCCTTGTTGCCCTTGCCGCGGCCCTTGGCCTGCCTCCCCTGGGCTTCCGATCCTCGTTCTTTTCGAGGATCCACAATCGTGATCGTGGATCCGCGATCGTGATCGTGGATCTTGAAATCCCCGATCGTAGATCGTGGATCCACGATCGTGATCGAGGATCCACGATCGTGATCGCGGATCCTGATATCCCCGATCGTAGATCGTGGATCCACGATCGTGATCGGGGATCCACGATCGCGATCGAGGATCCACGATCGTGGTCGATGTCCCACGATCGTGAATCCTCGACAAAGAACGTGGATCGGACCCCCAGGGCATGTACATATACATCGCACACGTGCACGTGGATCCACGCACGTACATGTATGGATGTACATATACAAACCTTATCTGGTGTATTAATGTACATCCATACGCGTACGTGCTTGGATTCACGCGCACGTGTGTGATGTATATGTACGTATATACATAGGCATGTGTGTGTGTGTGCGCGCAACTCCTCACAGAACACGCACATCACACATACACGGGCATACGTTGCAAGCGTTTGGCTAAACAACACATGGGTGACGGAGCGTGCGTGCGTATTCAAGGTAAATGCAAGATCGTCCTTACAGGTGTCTGATCCCCCCACCCCAAAAAACCTCGGAGGCTCGGGGGGGGGGGGG